ATATATCAGATTTAAACGTTTATTTTAAAAATTTAAAATTCACATTTTCTTACGGCCGACTAATTTAGAAAGTTCCCCTCTAACATCTCTTTAGAGCTTTAGCCGTTTAACTTTAATCCTGCCGGCGGACTATATATCAGATTCAAACGTTTATTTAAAAAATTTCAAATTCACATTTTCTTACGGCTGACTAATTTAGAAAGTTCCCCTCTAACGTCTCTCGCGTCTCTTTAGAGCCAAAACCGTTTAATTTAATCCTACCGGCGGACTGTTTAAGTGAATTTAACTTCTTTTTAAAAATTTCAAATTCACATTTTCTGAGGGCTGACTTATTTAGAAAGTTCCCCTCTAACGACTCTCGCGTCTCTTTAAATCCAAAGCCGTTTAATTTAATCCTACCAGTGGACTCTTTTAGTTAATTAAACCTTCATTTTAAAAATTTCAAATACACATATTCTGAGGGCCGACTAATTTAGAAAGTTCCCCTCTAACGTCTCTCGCGTCTCTTTCGAGCTTAAGCCGTTTAACTTTAATCCTGCGCGCGGACTATATATCAGATTTAAACGTTTATTTTAAAAATTTAAAATTCACATTTTCTTACGGCCGACTAATTTAGAAAGTTCCCCTCTAACGTCTCTCGCGTCTTTTTAGAGCTTAAGCCGTTTAACTTTAATCCTGCGCGCGGACTATATATCAGATTTAAACGTTTATTTTAAAAATTTCAAATTCAAATTTTCTTACGGCCGACTAATTTAGAAAATTCCCCTCTAACGTCTCTCGCGTCTCTTTAGAGCTTAAGCCGTTTAACTTTAATCCTGCGCGCGGACTATATATCAGATTTAAACGTTTATTTTAAAAATTTCAAATTCACATTTTCTTACGGCCGACTAATTTAGAAAGTTCCCCTCTAACGTCTCTCGCGTCTCTTTAGAGCTTAAGCCGTTTAACTTCAATCCTGCCGGCGGACTATATATCAGATTTAAACGTTTATTTTAAAAATTTAAAATTCACATTTTCTTACGGCCGACTAATTTAGAAAGTTCCCCTCTAACATCTCTTTAGAGCTTTAGCCGTTTAACTTTAATCCTGCCGGCGGACTATATATCAGATTCAAACGTTTATTTAAAAAATTTCAAATTCACATTTTCTTACGGCTGACTAATTTAGAAAGTTCCCCTCTAACGTCTCTCGCGTCTCTTTAGAGCCAAAACCGTTTAATTTAATCCTACCGGCGGACTGTTTAAGTGAATTTAACTTCTTTTTAAAAATTTCAAATTCACATTTTCTGAGGGCTGACTTATTTAGAAAGTTCCCCTCTAACGACTCTCGCGTCTCTTTAAATCCAAAGCCGTTTAATTTAATCCTACCGGTGGACTCTTTTAGTTAATTAAACCTTCATTTTAAAAATTTCAAATACACATATTCTGAGGGCCGACTAATTTAGAAAGTTCCCCTCTAACGTCTCTCGCGTCTCTGTAGAGCCAAAACCGTTTAATTTAATCCTACCGGCGGACTTTTTTAATGAATTAAACCTTCATTTTAAAATTTACAAATAAATTTTTTCTGAGGGTAGACTAACTTAGAAAGTTCCCCTCTAACGACTCTCGCGTCTCTTTAAATCCAAAGCCGTTTAATTTAATCCTACCGACTCTTGAACGACCTCTGACGGTCTCGAACAACCTCGGATGGTCTCCAGTATTATTTATGGTTATGAACAGAAAATTTTTATTGTTTAAGCTTTTTAATAACCTTTGGTGGCACTTTTTTTTTAACCGGTCACACTTTTGGCAAGGGTCAACCGATTCGAATGAAATTTGGCAGGTCGATTGCTCTTAGGGTGTAAACAAATAACTTAGAAGGATTTTTAAAAATTCTCAAAATTGCCTATTTTACAGGGGCTCAAAGTTTCTGATTTTGAAAAATGGCGTTTTCAAAAATCGAAAATATCTCAGCCCCTGTTGCAGATAGCGCATAAGTTTATATAAGCAAAATTGTAGGGAATTAGACGCCCTACAACTTTGCTATAGTGACCAAGGTCGTAGGTCAAACCTGAAGGTCATTTATTTTTTGCTCATTTTTTTCAGGCGCTACCAAAGTACCAAGGCAGTAAATTTTTTTGATTCCAAAATAGCCAAAAGTTGCTCCAGTTAGTAATTAACAACATATCAAAATTTGGTGAGACTTGTTTTTTTCGTTTTTGAGATATTCCGGATCAAAGGGCAAAAAACGTGGTTTTCCGAGCGTTTTTTGTGCAAAATTTATTTTAAACCTCCATAACTATTTTCCTGTTAGAATTAGGATTAAATGTATTATGACAAAAAATAATTGCCTTTAATTTTTCTTGCAGGTCATGTATCACACATGGTGATCAGGTCACAAAAGGGCATTGACCCCATGGTGACCTGTGACCTTTTTGAAATTTTTTACGTGTGTGACACATTGATGGAAAGAGGATGTCAGCAGGAGTAGATGTGAAGTTACATCTATTTTTAAATAATTTATTCGTCGGATTCCCACTTTTGCAGCACAAAATCTGTGATAACTTCACTTGTAATGATGCTAGAACAAAAATCCGGGTACCAAAATGCTCCTGCTGACATCCTCTTTCCATCAATGTGTCACACACGTAAAAAAATTCAAAAAGGTCACAGGTCACCATGGGGTCAATGCCCTTTTGTGACCTGATCACCATGTGTGATACATGACCTGCAAGAAAAATTAAAGGCAATTATTTTTTGTCATAATACATTTAATCCTAATTCTAACAGGAAAATAGTTATGGAGGTTTAAAATAAATTTTGCACAAAAAACGCTAGGAAAACCACGTTTTTTGCCCTTTGATCCGGAATATCTCAAAAACGAAAAAAACAAGTCTCACCAAATTTTGATATGTTGTTTATTACTAACTGGAGCAACTTTTGGCTATTTTGGAATCAAAAAAATTTACTGCCTTGGTACTTTGGTAGAGCCTGAAAAAAATGAGCAAAAAATAAATGACCTTCAGGTTTGACCTACGACATTGGTCACTATAGCAAAGTTGTAGGGCGTCTAATTCCCTACAATTTTGCTTTTTAAACTTATGCGCTATCTGCAACAGGGGCTGAGATATTTTCGATTTTTGAAAACGCCATTTTTCAAAATCAGAAACTTTGAGCCCCTGTAAAATAGGCAATTTTGAGAATTTTCAAAAATCCTTCTAAACTATTTGTTTACACCCTAAGAGCAACCGACCTGCCAAATTTCATTCAAATCGGTTGACCCTTGCCAAAAGTGTGACCGATTAAAAAAAAGAGTGCCTGGTACTTTTTTGTTCGACAAAAATTGTTTAACCAATTGTTTAATGCATTTTTCAATTTACATAGTATATTTTTAACTCAAATTGACCTTTATTTTGAATTTTGTTAAATATATTAATCTTCTAAAAAAACTTGCAGACCCCAACTATAATTTTTATTGGCATTATTTATATTTATTGAGTGATTTAAGATTCATATGTTGCTCCGTCAGATTTTAATCTAAAATAAATTTTTCATCCAAATTAATATTATTTTTTTTAATTTAGGTAATTAGTTAATTACATATTCAATATATTATATAAATATATGATATATCACCTTAAAATCAAATTCACCATGTTCAATTTTTTTTAGAAAAATTATAACAAAATTTATTTGTAATGCATGCAGGTTTTATATAACTAATTTCCTAAATTAAAAAAAAAATCAATTTGAATGGAATATTTATGTTAAATAAACGGAGCAACTTAAATTACTCTATCAATAAGACCACAAAAAAATTATTTGGGGTCTGCAAGTTTTTTGTTAGAAGATTATTACATTTAACAAAAATTAAAAAAAGGTGGAATTCAATTTAAGTTTAAATAATATAGTTTATGCTCACATATGCATAAATAATTTTTGTCTAATTAAAAAAATACCCAAGGTTACTAAAAATCTAAAAAATTAAAATTTTAAATGCGTTTTCTGTTCATGACCATAAATAATACTGGACACCTCCGAGGTCGATCAAGACCGTCAGAGGTCGTTCAAGACCGTCAGAGGTCGTTCGAGACCGCTTGAGACCGCCGACCGCCAGAGGTCACCTGAGACCGATCGAGGTCGTTCGAGACCGAGGGGCAACCGTTGCCCCTAAACACTTGTCATGTAAAAATATGAGGTCATTCGAGACCGTCCGATAGGTCGCCTTCGAGGTCGTTCGAGACCATGGTCTCGAGCGACCTCAAGTACGACCTCCGACGGTCTTGTTTTTGACAAGGGAAGATTGGTTGACCCTGCCAGAAGTATACCTTTCAAAATATACCTTTCAAATATTTTCGCCGTATTATCAAACTCATGTATTTTTAGCAAAATTAACATATTCTTCAAAATGTGTTACATCTGTCTGCCACCTTTTAAGGGAGCTGAGTGATTAGATCATGATATACATCTTTCATTGTTTATAATCATCCTTTTTAATGCAGAAATTAAAAGAATTAAGGAAGCAGGTTTTCATTTATTTAAGAATGGTTTTTTTTTAGTTTTTTTTCCAATTAAAAAATTTTGTATTGACCGAGAAGCATAAATTGAAAAAAAAAATTTGAATAGAAAAGTATTTGAGCTTGTTTTATGATGAAAATAAATTAATTTTACTGTTCTATTTCATTACAGATATGCACATCGCATTCTAAATAATAAATTAAAACGAATTATAAGACTAGCTTTACTTCTGTTCTTGTCTCAAATATTATTGAATTTGACTGGGTTAATCATCAAGTGTGCAATCCTCTCGATGAAATTGCGAGATTCTTTTAAACAAATGACCTTTGAATGAAGGCAGTATTTTTTTGTACGAGAGACCATGCCATTTGGTAATATACATGCATCTAGTATTTTTTTTTTTTGTGTGTGTGCGAGTGCATTTGAAATTTCTTATTTTTCACCTGAGTATAAAGTAATACTTTTTTTACAAAAAGGCAGGGCTAAAGGAATCACGATTTATTCGATATGTCTGGCACTTTTTATTTGCAGGGTAATAATCGTTCAATTTACAGAAAAGATTCTCAAGAATCGAACACAGAAAAAATTTAGTTTATTTGGTCTTCATTCAAAATCCCATTCAAAAAACTCAAGCAAAGTCTCCGTCTCCAGCAGCTCCCGGCGCTTGCCCACCATTCTGAGCCTGAGCTGGCAGCAAAACTTGCTGCATTTGAGGAGCATCTCCATGATCGTGTAGAGCAAACTGTTGATGAACCAGACCCTGTCCTTGGATTACAATGGCCTGCGGCGCGGCTCCGTTTGGCGCGGCTCCTTGCGGCGCAGCTCCTTGCGGCGCGGCTCCGTTCGGCGCAGCTCCGTTTGGCGCGGCTCCTTGCGGCGCGGCTCCTTGCGGCGCGACTCCTTGCAACAAGGCCCCACCTTGAGCTTGATCACCTGGCAAAGGTGCAACAATTACGCCCAGTTGCAGATCAAAGCCTCGCTGCAAGAACTCGGTCCTCATTCTTTGACGGAGCTGGCGGAGGTCTTAAATTAAAAAGAAACAAAGAATCAATAATATTACATAATATTAGTCATTGATATTTAGGGACCGATCACAACTATTAATTTGACATCGAACTTATCGTCACCGCGGGAATCATTAGAGTTATTCAGTACAAAAAGAAGAGGGGACCATATTGCATGGATTAACATTTTGTTTCATCTTCAAGTTTTAAAAAATTGTTGAAAAAATTCAAAATATTTCAAAATGCAGCATGTGCGATCTCTAGTTTTAAAGCCAGGGAGTGCACCAAGTGCATGCAGAGATTGTAGTTTCTTTTTGCTCGCGAACCTGGAATAAAATTTTTTGCTCGCCAAAACGCCATTCCGATAAGGCCTGAGCAAGCGCTGGGTGAAATTTTGCCAGTATAGAAATTGAATGAAATTAATTAATACTGAAAATGGGAGGGTCGAAGTCGCTTTGCGGAAGGGTTTAAAAATCTTTTTATTTACAGAACCTGAAGCAGTCTATAAAGCCTATTAAAAAGATATAAAACACACTAAGAAAAAAAAATGAAAATGTAAACTCTTTGAATTTCAATGTGGCACCACCAATTCTGGCTGATGATTTTAAATTAAAAATAATTGCCGACATTTTTTTATTCGCTAAATGAAATATTCCTAAGAAGAAACATAAAATAACAATTTATGAAGAAGGCTCGTTAGGGGGCAATGTCGCTGGTGCCCACGGACCTTTTTCTCACCGTTCGGCCAAAATCACTCAACCTCAAGTGTGGCTGGACCCCAGGGCGAAATTGAAAAAAAAAATATTGTTCTATTGCATTGCTTATTTGAATTAAGAGTAATTTTAATTAAATTAACAAAAAAATTTGGAGGCAAATTTAATTGTTATGTCAATAAAACAAGAGCTAGTTTTACAATGGAATTAACCACAGTAAAAAAAAAAATATATATATAAACTACAGTCTGCAGGAAATTTTATATCTGTTAAAGGAATGCATGTGTACGAAGATTTAAAAATGTGTCCAATTGAGTAGGATGGAAATTTAAGAGGAAAATGTTTTATCGTAAATCGAGTTTGAGAATTTGTTTACCAATGCCAGTACTTGATGGGCTCAAAAAGGTAGCCCATTACTTCAAAGCGCAGCACCAAAAAACATTGCTTGGCCCAAGGACTCGCCGGTGTACAAGGTACCAAGCGAAAGACTAGGAAATTTTTGGTATGCAGAGATTAACTTTCTGTCTGTACAAAAAAAAAATAAACCTTAACAGACATCAATTGAGCAGCTTAAATTTTAATCAGCATCAAAACAAACAAACAAAAGCAAGAGGAGGAGAAATTGCAAAAAATCCATTTGTTTTCCATTTTTTTGAAAATTTGTTTTAAAAACTCGATTCCAATTGAAGCATTGTGATCGGACCCTTTCTCATAAAAAAAAAAAAATCAAATATGAAGAGAATTTTATACCTTCGTTGATAGAGTATGTCATACTCATATGGTAGGCCAGGATGGGGACCATTCGTAGGGGCATTAAATGAAGATTTTCCAAGTTTCGACGAACAAACATGGGGACTTCTTGTATGGTATGTTGTCCATCTGCTCTATTTGGATAAAACTCCAGTTTCCTGGCGTTCACTACAGCGTTGATTGCCCTCTGCTTAATGATAGCCCTTCTTGACTGAGCTGTAGAAACAGAAAAAAGAATAATGTTATAATTCCAGTCTATATTATCCATATCAGATTAAATAAGCCACAAAAGAAATTTATTTCTAAGTTTTTCAAGTGCTGCCTGACGCATGCATCATGTTTTGTTACCGGTAATCTCTGGCCAGCTTGCAATTCTGGCCACTTTCATTAAAAAAGCTAAACAATAAATTAATATGGATAGAAATCATACGGCCGGAATATTGCAGTCCCAAGTCGTTCCAATGGCAGATGGAGCAAAATAGAGCCTCAGGGAGACCATCCATCAGATGTCCATTTCTTGTGACGTTTGTCATCACAAGGTCACCGGCATACGGGGCGGCGGATCCATCTTTGAACAAAACCGGACCCCCTTCATGGTTTTCTGGTGGCGCGGGTTGATGCATCGTTGGAAAAGTGAAAAGTAACAAATTCGGACCACCAAAACAAAATTCTCCAGTTGCAGGGCTATGGCCTGGCTATGGCTTTCTGAGCTTTCTCGCCTTTCTCGTTCGCGTTATGCCCGAATCAGTCGAATCTCAAATGGTGGCGCTGACGCTCGTGGGCTTGGCGAGCAACGAAAAATGGCGGCAAGAATATCCCTCATACATCCATTTTTCTGGCCGCAGGCAGTGCGATGGGTGATATCAGGTGGTGGGCGCGGCGGCCTCCCCTTTTTAATTACCCTTCAACGAGATTGCATTGAAAGAAATCCAGAATTCCAGAGCCTAAGAGAAAAAAATATGAAGCGGCTGCCCGCTGCCCAGTCAATATACATAATTATGTATTATGTACCAAAGTGGCTAATGCAAGATGACTGCGCTTGGTTTAATTAATTGAATTCACTATTTTCCCCATCCAGTATTTTCACAAGGTCAAAGATAAAAAAAAGTCTGATTCGCGATTTTCCAAATAATACTTTCTTACTTTTAACGTCAATTAATAATTAATTTATTTCTAGCAAATTACTTCAATTTTCTTCAATCCATGTTCATCGCAGTTCATCCTATCATGTATGAAGGAACAAAGTATTGATGCGATTTAAGTGTATCACCATCTTATGAACATATTTATGCATGACCAATCATTTCTGCTTTATGAACTATTTTTGTAGTTATACTATATTTTTATTAGATTTGTTAAGGCATAAAAAAAAGTAAAAATTATTATCATTCAAATTAATAGCAGATGATTATTGCTTTGGAGCAGTTCAATTATGTCACTGATTTCTGTGCAATAGTTTAATGATAAGTAGAGGAAAATATTGCCCATAAATAAAGGATAACCATATCTTCCAACTTCCAACAAAACCAAATTTAGCAGTAATTTTTTTCTAATTCATATATAATAAGCCATATTTAAAATTAACAGTGAGCACTGCAGTACATAAAAACAATTCTCAAAAAATCAAATTTTCTGCCATAACTTTAGGACACGTTTATATTATTTGGTATATCTTTAAAGATTAGAAGATAATGTTCTTAAAAATGGTGCGGTCTGCCAAGTCTACTCGGGCAAACTTGATGCTGACGAGACCCTCGGTGCGTTTCAGGCTGGAGGTGTCGTAGAATTTGTAATAGCCAGCCTTCTTCAGCTGCAGGACCACCTCGAGGTGGCGCCCTTCACAGCGCAGAGGCTGCTCAAGCTCGACAGTGGCCTTTGCGTCGTACGGGACTTCGGCCTCCCAGTCCAGGGCCAACAACTCCCGCAATCCGTCCTCCACAATAAGACGGACACTCTCGTGATACGTCGCATCCTGGGGACGCCATTCTGCGGCTCCCGGAATCTAAATCATTTTGTAAATTAAAAAAGTTTTGTAAATTTAAAATGAAAATTACATTTGCCAAGAAGAAAGGGTCGCATGTCTGGGTGCTGATGGTGAAGCCGCGGAGGCGCACCTGAGGCGATCGGCAGCGCAGACCCAGCCGGAATTCAGAGTGGGCAGCGACGTACATGGGAATGGTCGGACAGTTGGGAGAAATTCGTGCCAGAATCGGCTTGCCCGATGACATGGCTGCAATCAAAATAAAGTGATCAAAATAATGCATGGGCACTTTTTAGTTAAGGCTATACCTTGGGGTGCAGGAGCCTTCTCCACGGTGCCATCTTCGTTGACCATGAAGTACGCCCGAGGCTCGTTGCCCACCAACCTCATCTGGTCCTCAACCTCGAAGTAAACCACCGATTCCTGCAGATGGGAAATTACATATTATAAATTAGAAAATAATGAAAATTAATGCTTTTCTCCTCGTCCTTGTTTGGCGGCGTTGCCTTCGGTCTTGACCAAGCGTCTTCTTGCCGGTCGACGTCTTGCTCGCCTCGGCCTCGAGCACCCTCGGGTCCATGCCCAGGACGTAGATTAAACCATATATGTGGTGCTAGGCCCTCAGGTGGGCCCTGACGTTGGTGGTGCCGCCTCCGTGGCGCACTTCTCGGCCGCACAAATTGCATATCGCGGTTAGGTCGCCCTTCTGGAAGTACGCCCAGACGTCCGACTTGGCCTCGCGCTTCGAGGTCGACGCCCTCACCTCGGCCGGCGTCGCGGCCGCCGCTTCATCTTTGCTAGTGTCGAACTCGACCTCTGTTTTCTCCACATTGATCGACTCTGGCCATTTTCCTGCAGTTTTTTACTGAGAGGACACGGACAAATTATTGTCTCGGGACGCTTGGGTGGGCGATTTGGGCTATGGTAATACGGCCTGCAGACAGTGCACAGGCACATGGGCCGCAGGCAGTGAGCTGACTGAATTCGGGTGGCGAACGCAGTGGCCTCTCTATCCTCCAGCGATCAGATTTAATGGGAAAAAATCCAGTCAGCGCGGGAGAAAAAAAAGTTTTGCGTCCGCCCGATATTATGCAAAGTCTATTCTCTGATTCGCAATTTTCCAAACACTTTTCTAAAATATTTCAATGAATTTCATTTATTTATATTTTATTAAATTATTTTGTTTTTTCAACCAAGCTTCAGCTTATATTGTTTCAAAAGAGCAAAGATAATATTTTGTGAATTAAAAGTAATGCCATTTCATTATTTTTTTTTTTAATTATTTTAAGTTAGACGTTAGACTATATATTTTATTTCATTAATTTTAGTGAATCAAAATATTTTAAATTATGCAGCAGATATTTTATTACTTATAATGAGAATTGCATTGATATAGTTGAATTTTATTTTTTTAATTATTTTCTGTGTAAATTGTAAATAATTGTATATTATAATATTTTGAAGTATCTGTAAATCTGGAGTAAATAAATGTACCTGTAAGTGATGAAAGCGAAGACGAGCGCGACGAGAGACACGGAGCTGCCTAGGACGGCCACCAGCGACAAGAGGCCTTCGTGTGGCCCTCGAGGCCTGTCAGATTGACGAGCCCCGGGGCCGCGAAACCGTGCACCCTGGCCGCGTACAGGGTGTCCATCCGCCTGCAACCGTCGCCCCTCCGCCCCCTCCAACACTGAACTCTTATTTTTAGGTTTGACGAACTCACTTAAAGGAAGCGTTCGTTGGAGGTAAATAGAGAAAAATGCAAAACTGCCGTTTGAAATTTACAAATTAAAGGTCTCTTTCAATAATTACCAATCAAGGTTTGCTACGGGATTTTTTAAATTGCCGAAATTAAAGCTTAAATTTTGAAGGAAAAAGTAGTTATGGCGAAAAAATTTTCTTCTCTTAATAAAAAAAAAAAAATGGATTCCGTGCGATTGAAATCCTCGCTGCCAGTTAAATACATACAAACCGGAGGACATTATTTGGGCCTCATTGGAATTTTAGCCGTCGGCTGAGAAAAGTAATGGTCTAATGGTGCTCCTTCTGGATATTTCGATACAAACTAATAAAATGGATTTGAATTTCAAGCCGACTGAATAATTTTACTTCGGCGAGGGCGACAATTATAAAGCTCCATTTCCAACAAAAAGACAGAGGTACAGCTGTTATAATTAAAGCTGTTTTCTTTTGTCTCTCGTCTCTGTCATGCCTTTTGTGCCCTATGTGGATATCATTAATATTTGATTATTAGTGAGGGGAGAGTAAGAGAGGCAGAGGGATCGAGCGAATGTGAAGGAGAAGTTTCACAAGCAAGTTTAGACAAGTCTTGACAAAAATCGCCGCTTCGTTGCAGCGCCGGGAGATAACAGCTACAGCTCGCGTCGCTCGCGAGTCCTCATAATATTCAGCATTCCATTGCCTTGATAAATGTAAACTGCACCACTAGGTGGCCGCGGCCAAATGAGGCAGCCACGCCAGCCACGATGGAATGCCATGGATTGACCTAATTCAATGGCTCCGCCTTATATTTCTCTCACGTTGGCGCGGTCGGTGGCATGAAAATCTCGCCTGTAAAATTATTCAAATTAATGATAATTATTTCTTTGTATTATTAAATTGGTTCACACTGTTGGATTCAAATTGATTGAATTCAAAGAAAATATATTGATATTTTAAAAATGGCAGAGAAAATTATTTAAGATCTGCTCGTCACCAATTAATTTTTCATGGGATGAAAATTTTACGACAGTGAAAACTTGTGCAAAATACGGTTATTACATGCTCTGCAAAATAATTCTTTTTTTATAATTCTTGTTTTTATTGTAAATTTTAAGAGATTGATGTTCTTAATTTATAAAAAAATATAGAGTGCAATTGAGGAAAAGAAAATTAATATTGAATTATACATGAAAACAAAACAGCAGCCCTCTTCATTTAAAATGAAAATAAATAGAGGCTTCTGCATGGAATGCGCTCTGCCGCCGCTAGTACATGTGTTTTTCATCTCCTCTCTGGATCTGGAATTCCGGATTCTGGAGAGCAGCGCAAGGGAGAGGGGATGAAAATCCTGTATCATGCACATTGCACATCAGCAAAAGCATAAACAGAGTACAAAACTTGGTACAAAAAAGCCGCCAAAACATCAATGCAACGTCGCACAGGTCGCACTTTCAGTCAGACGCACGACCGACTCAAAGCGAATAGTGCGATAAGTTTTCTGCACTTTGTTTTGCTACTCATAACTTTTATTTTTTCCCACGAATATATAAATCGGCTGAAAACGCGGATTATAAAACCCAAAGCTCTACACGATGGACTTCATTGTGGCTGCCTTTTTAGATTACTTACGGTGAGAAATATATTTATAGTTTCAATGAGTCTCTCGCTAGTCCCGCTCTCTGTATTCGGTTGATGTTTTGGGGTACATAATTATTTAATTCCTCGCACAAACAAATCATCAATGATTTATTAAATTTTCCCGTCGCTGAAATCAATAAAAAAAAATTGCAGTAGATTTGATTATAAAATCCAGTTGCAGCAGAGAGCAAGAGGAATTTGCACGCAACTTGGTACTTGAGACTGCAAGAAAGAAAAGGTCGAAAGTGCAAAACCTTCGGCCCCTGAGAGAACTGGCGCTGCAGAAAATCATCACCTTCAACAGAGAAACCTGCGCTGAAACATTGGTGCCTTTTCAGCACTTCCGTAAGCACCACATTTCATTAAAATCATCTGATTTATTTAATTTACTTTCAGCAAGCACTTTGAGGCTGGAAATTATCAAGCGGCTGCAAACTCAGAATTCAAAGGTTGAAGGAATCACACCTGACTTCATGATTCAGTGGACCGTGGACCTGGTAGGGCGCCTTCTGGACGCCTCCGTCAAGGAGTTTGACTTTGCCACGTTTTCCGACGGAAAAGACCAGGAGCGTGACCTGCGAGTTTGGAGGATGCTCGTTGAAAGGTGCCCTAACCTGGAGTATGTCGCAGACACTCGACGGCGCCGCCGTGTCAGAGGGAGGAGCACCGACGAGAACCTTCGAGATGTGCTGCCCTTTGTACTGCAGCTGCCCAAGCTACGTCACATTCTCCTCTCCGACTACATCTGCAAACCAAACGACCTGACGCAAATCATTCAAAGGTTTCCGAGCCTCGTCTCACTTGGATTCTTCTGCAATGATGTCCCGACGCTGCAGTCAAATTTGTTCACCTTGCAGAGCTTGGAGGTGCTGAAAATTAAGTGGGATTGCCCAATTCCATCAAGTACAATTATTTGGCAGGTAATTCAGTCTAAAGTAACTTTAAATCTATTTTTTTTTAATATTTAAAAAAAATGTGGTGGTTCACTATAATGTTGTCCATTCAAAAATCTACGACGCTAAAGATCGCCGAGATGAACCTTTTATATATTTTTTTAGTATTTTTAGTTAAATAAAGCATATTATAAAAGAGGACATTGGCATCTACAAGAGTAGCAGTTTTATCTACTGTGTTATTGTACGAGTAAAATACATATTTTTTCTAAAAGTTTCATCCACTTTTCTTATCCCTTTTAATTCTATTAAGAGTTACTTCTAAAGTTTTTAGCAACTCACTTTTTTTTGGCAATTTTTATCATTTTTCGTAAACAAAAATTAAATTTTGCAGGAGCACGAGGCAAAAAGATGTCATTGCACTCAATTGGGATTGGAGTGTTTGAAACGGCTGCCTCGTCTGCGGTCCAGCACCTTTTGCATTTATGGATGGCCAGGCAAAGAGCCTTGCACCTACCAATGCCCTAGGCAGCCCCTTCCTCTGGAGCAACTGGATATTGCTGGAAGTTTTGACTTGCAACTTGTGCCATCCCTAAAACAACTGGTGTGGTACGGCGTCGAATCTCCAAGACCCATGTCAGCAGTGTCGGCTCCAGCCTTTGCCTACTTGACCAGTCTCCGAGTCCTGATCACACATTATGTGCAAGGGAACTTAATTGCCGAGGTGCTTCCCTTCTGTGGAGGTCGACTGGAGGAGATCAAACTGACGGTGTCCGACGACAGCTCACTGGACATTTGTGACGTTTTCCTGCACTGTCCGTTGCTTCATAAATTCCACATCTACTATGAAATTTTCGTCCAAGAACCAAAGCCTTTTAGCCACAACTTGCAAGCCAGTCACTTCCAGAACTTGCAGGAATTCTTCCTGGACTGGAGGGTTAGCCATGCCTATGCGTCCAAGCTGCTGGCCCTCGTCCTCACAGCACCCCACTTGCAGCGTTTTGTCATGAAGCAAAGTTTCACCTTGAATGCCGAAGATTGCGACCGCTTTAGTCATCTTGTGGTCCAGGAACGAATCCTGCAGAAACTGGAAACCTTTGTTTTTGGATCCCATCGAGAGCAGCCTGCGGAATTGCTGGATTTCCTCCGCATGCTGCCAATCTATGCCCCTTGGCTGGAAACGATGGAGTGCCTTGGAGCCCATCGTTCGTTCTTGGTTCAAATGCGAAGATTGCTTGTGGAAGAAACTCTCAACGCTATTGACGGTTTCTGTTTCATCGACTCGCACAAGTTTCATCGTGAGGATTACACTGATGATTAATCAACTCAATTCAAAAACAATTGAGACTAGACGGAAATTCAGGCTTATTTTATAAAATATCATCTGGAATACAATACAATGTACTATAATAAAGTAAAAAAGATTTAATAATTTGTCTTTTCATCTTAAAGCTACCTACAATAATTTTTCCAACAAACAAAAAATCATAAATTCTAAAATGAATCGAAATCTACTTCCTTTTAATTTCTGCATTAAAAAGGATGATAAAATAATCAAGATGAAGTTTTTTTATTTGAACACCTTGGTCACTTGAAATGTGACATATTGTGCAACAAACTTTGAAGAACGCATAATGGGTGCAGCAATAATAATTAAATATTTATAATAAAATTTAAATATTACCAAGAACAACATTTTTTTAGCGATCAATAGTTTTATTTGCAGTTACAAAATTTACATGAGTTTTTTAATATACATAAATGATCATTCTACAAATTAGATCCAAGGAAATTTAATCATTTAGTCAAAGAGAGATTTAACTCACAAACAAGCTTTGTGAGCTCCAAATTTATTTAAAATAAGTGCTTTACAGTATAATTTCTTGGCCATTTTCTTTTTAAATTGTCCACAGCGCTGGCAACCTTTTCAATATATTAATTTAGCCACATTTGACTTTGTTTCCTAAAGGTTTAGACAATTTTGCGGCACCGTGGGAAAAATAAACAATTAAAATTCTTCAAACTAAAACTTCTGAGGGGGATAAAAAAATCATTCTATCAGCTATAGGGGAAGCTAAAATTAGCAAAACTTATTCATCTTGATCTATTAAATCAAATTAGACATGTTTCATGTTTTGGACTGTACAAAAGCACATACAAATTAGATAATTATGAATCATCAAACTTTCTAAGCACACGTTTATATTATTTGGTTTATCTTTAAAGATTAGAAAATGATGTTCTTAAAAATGGTGCGGTCTGCCAAGTCTACTCGGGCAAACTTGATGCTGACGAGACCCTCGGTGCGTTTCAGGCTGGAGGTGTCGTAGAATTTGTAATAGCCAGCCTTCTTCAGCTGCAGGACCACCTCGAGGTGGCGCCCTTCACAGCGCAGAGGCTGCTCAAGCTCGACAGTGGCCTCTGCGTCGTACGGGACTTCGGCCTCCCAGTCCAGGGCCAACAACTCCCGCAATCCGTCCTCCACAATAAGACGGACACTCTCGTGATACGTCGCATCCTGGGGACGCCATTCTGCGGCTCCCGGAATCTAAATCATTTTGTAAATTAAAATAGGTTTGTAAATTTAAAATGAAAATTACATTTGCCAAGAAGAAAGGGTCGCATGTCTGGGTGCTGATGGTGAAGCCGCGGAGGCGCACCTGAGGCGATCGGCAACGCAGACCCAGCCGGAATTCAGAGTGGGCAGCGACGTACATGGGAATGGTCGGACAGTTGGGAGAAATTCGTGCCAGAATCGGCTTGCCCGATGACATGGCTGCAATCAAAATAAAGTGATCAAAATAATGCATGGGCACTTTTTAGTTAAGGCTATACCTTGGGGTGCAGGAGCCTTCTCCACGGTGCCATCTTCGTTGACCATGAAGTACGCCTGAGGCTCGTTGCCCACCAACCTCATCTGATCCTCAACCTCGAAGTAAACCACCGATTCCTGCAGATGGGAAATTACAAATTATAAATAAAAATAATGAAAATGCTTTTCTCCTTGTACTTGTTTGGCGGCGTTACCCTCGGTCTTGACCAGGCGTCGACGTGGACGCTTCTTGCCGGTCGACGTCTTGCTCGCCTCGGCCTCGAGCACCCTCGGGTCGCTCGGGTCCATGCCCAGGACGTAGACCATGTGGTGCTTGGCCCTCAGGTGGGCCCTGACGTTGGTGGTGCCGCCTCCGTGGCGCACTTCTCGGCCGCACAAATTGCATATCGCGGTGAGGTCGCCCTTCTGGAAGTACGCCCAGACGTCTGACTTGGCCTCGCGCTTCGAGGTCGACGCTCGGCTCACCTTGGCCGGCGTCGCGGCCGCCGCTTCATCTTCGCTAGGGTCGAACTCGACCACTGTTTCCTCCACACTGGTCATTTTCGTTCGGCAATTTTACTTATTTTACCGATAGGACGCGGAAAAACTGGCGGGACGCAGATTAACCTTCTTGCAAGATGGCCGACGGGACAAGCGATTTTTTACCGAAACGATTTCATCGATGCCGTCGCGTTTCTGCGTGAGAAGGGAGCGGGAAACGGGCGATGCATCGATTATGGCGGAGGTAAGTGGGCCGTCGGGGGTGCTGCCCTCTCACGTTGGTCTGCAGAACTAATTCCACCGATAACCGGTTGAACCGGATTTCCGCGGGAAAAATCATCGAAAAATTTGTAAATGCTGAAGACTGAAATTACTGAAAATCTCAACTGAGAAGCTATAAAATAAGATTCAATGAGTCTCAAAACCTGCTTATAAATACAAATCAATCACGTTTACAAAACTTAATTATAATTTAAATACACATTAATTTGAAGTTCCTATAATTAGTAGACTACATGACTGAAACAGCATTTAGCTAATGTGTGTAACAAAACATTGTGTTTAATAGTACGGAGAGACAAGAATGTATGTGGCCAGAATGGAATATACAGTAAAGATCTTGCGACCACACAATTTTATACGGAAGTGCCAAGTTTATATGTACAGACTAGAGTTGTCAGTTGTGGCCAAACCAATTGCGTCGCCATCGCCGAGGGGCTGCGGTTCCGTTGGGCATGAGCCGCTGGTCGACCGAGAAGGCCCTGGTGTCAGTGACCTCGCACTCGACCTGCAACAGGGCAACATGGTGCCTCGGCACGGAGGCGTTCACCGTCGGCAGGACCAACGCAACTCTCGGTCTTGAACTGTCATTGTGTGCTTTTGCAGCACGCAGGACGTGCTCAGTGCTGAAGACGTAGAAGAAGTCGTCGCGGCGGCCGATGGCCTCGAAAAGGGCTTCATGGGGGCCGTAAAGGGCCACGGCACTGCTCTTGCGCAGTTTCTTCTTTGCTGCCGGCCGTGGGGGTGGCTGAGGGGTGGTTGAATTAGTTGAAAAGCAGCCTCGGAGTTGAGAGTCTAAACGAACCTGAAAATGTGGGAAACAAATTTTCATATCTCAGTAATTTCAAAATGATTTTTTTTTTTGTTATTTTGTATTTTTATAAACAAAAAATCATCTAATTATCTATTAAAATTCTGGAAAAAATCCAAAAAATTTAATGTGGACTAATTTCAATGAAAAGATATTGATATTTATTATTTATTTGTCCAGTACTTAAGTAACCTTTGTATTTCAAATTAAATAAGAATTTTAAACACGAGTTTAATTCAAATTTGAATTAGTGATGCATGAAGTTTTACATAATTGTATTAAAATAATGAGGAATTAATTTAATTAAAAAAATTAATACTAAATAAACTAAAATCGCCTAAAATAATTAAAAACCTATATTGGAAAAAGAGATTAAACGTCCATCTACAAATGAAACTTACAGATTCAGTCTGATTTATTGCAACTGGGCAGCGGGGTTGTGCTTTTGGTCGGCTCTCGACGGCCCACAAGAGTGAGCGGCCGGCGGGCGTCCGGGATGGCGGTTGAACCACGTGGTCTGGCAAATCTGAGGGGATGAATGAGGCCAGAGGGTTCAGGGCAACGAGCATGAGGCAGGCGCAAAGGGTTACCACCCCTTTCCTGCCTCGAGGGCCCTCGTGCTTGGCCAGGCGCGCCTTCAGCTCCTCGTTTTCCCTTTTGAGGCGGTGGTTCTCGACTTGCAGGGCTGCCACCTGCGCCTCCAGTGAATTCAGGTACTCCTTTTTCTTCTTGCGAGACTGGCAAGCTGACTCTCTGTTTTTGATCATGCGTTGGTGCTTTTTGAGAAGGCGGATGTCCGAGACGGCGGGTGCTGCTTCTTGACCAGGAATCCACTCTGATTTTGGAAAAAAAAAAAATTAAGATTTGTTTACTAGCAATGAATATTTATTACCAATTTTTATAGGCGCAGGTTTGCTTATGTCCTCAGCAGGTTTGGGCTGTATCCTTTTTGCACTGACGACTCTTCCTGTACGATTTCAGAAGGGAAAGATTTAGTCATTTTTATTTTTAACTTGGACGATCTTTTTGATGATATTAAAAAAAAAAGATTTCAAAGAAACGAACCATTTACTGGCACCAGATTAACAGGGGAGACCATCACCACTGGAGCTACTCGAGGCACCACCACCCTGGGAGGTGAGACAGGCGGAGTTTCAGGTTCAGTCTTTGGCCAACAACCACTGTCTGAGCTCCCGGTGGGACTTGGAGGCGTCGATGGCTCTTTCTTGACTTGGATCAGAGGGCCATGGTCAAGCGAATTTGCCATTGAATCGGATGCCCACTCCAGCGGAATGTCATCCAGTTTGGGCCAATGCTCAGATGGACTGAGGGTGTACCCTTCATCATCCATAGGGATCTGAATTATAGATGAAAATATGAAAATTAAATAAGTAAATTCCATAAATTCAGATATTTTTTCATTATCACCTCCAGATCATCGTTAAGCAGCAGGTCAGACGTTCGAGAAAAATTGTCTAAATCTGCAAAAAAAATCCAAATATAAATTAAAAAGTTTTAAATTCTGATAAAAATAGCTAGGATGTGAAGTCTCTTGAAAATTGCGTGAATTTTAAAAAATATTTTAATTCTCTACGAACAGAATGTAGAAAAGCTGGAAGTGGGAAATTTTAATTGACTGTGTTATCAAAAAAGCCGGAAACCGTTCTCGGCGTGCGTCCTGGGAACTATTGTTTGGCCTGGATTTTGAGCACAGCCCTTTCAAACAAAAGCAATAGCCATCGCAAAAATACATTGAATCAAGAAATCACGCTCCTAACTATGTCAAACGGCTCGAAATAAACGCGAATAAGACTGAATGTTTACCAAAATCAAGATTGGTGGTGCCGATGGCCGAAAGGCCCGGCAGCAAAAATTGCTCCAGGTCGACGTTTTCGCCCATGGAATCGAAAATCGTGACTTAAATCAGTTCCGAGACTCTGCTAACGCAAAAGAACTGATTAGACGAGTCTTCCTGAGGGCATCGCTGCACTCGAAAAGCCGGAAAAGTCACGTCGCAATTCCCAGGAAGCCGAGACACTCGCAGTTTGTCAACGGTTGGGTGGGCGGATCAGTAAACACCTTTTTTGCCAACCTGACAAAGTTAAAAACTGAGAAAATCCAATTCTTAATTAGTTTTTGAGTGTAGCATAAAATTAATAAAAAATTTCAATACTCGAAATATTATCAATATCTTGAAAATCAAATTATTCATACACTGTTAACAAGATAGAGTGATACGTTTTTTTAAGCACAAGGTTGGCTACAGGATGGCATGCGCAGACTCGCAAGTTGGTGTGGTGCTCACTTGCCTGTTTTGCCTAGGTGTCAGTGTCAGACAAAAAATAAAAAAATCCCTTGATAAAGGGCACCGTCAGCCATGGTTGACGAGGGGACGAAAAAGACCCTTTCGAGCATTCCCCTTCTGAAGACCAAAGCCGGTCCAAGGGACAAGGAACTGTGGGTTGTGAGACTAAAAGAAGAGTACCAATCGTTGATTCAGGTTACTTTCTCCAAAACCAGCTGTTTTAAAAAATATTTTGTGAGCCCTTTAAATTTTTCGGATTTTAATTTTTTGCATATATTCTAGTACGTTCAAAATAACAAGGCGGCCGACAATGACTGGTTTCGACTCGAGTCCAACAAGGAAGGCACCAAGTGGTTTGGCAAATGCTGGTACGTTCAGGACATGCTCAAATACGAGTTTGATGTAGAATTTGACGTAAGCCTCAATTTTTGTTTAAAAATTTATTATTAATAAAATAAAATGCAGATTCCAGTCACGTATCCCACGACAGCTCCCGAAATCGCGCTTCCAGAGCTCGACGGTAAAACTGCGAAAATGTACAGAGGAGGGAAAATTTGTCTGACGGATCACTTCAAGCCCCTTTGGGCTCGAAATGTGCCAAAATTTGGAATAGCTCATGCAATGGCTCTTGGAGTAAGATTGGAGATTTCAAATTAAAAACAGCAAGTTTATTTAATTTTGACTCTTTGCAGCTTGGCCCGTGGTTGGCTGTGGAAATACCGGAAATGATTGAAAAGGGTGTTGTGAAGTACAAGGAGAAGGAGTGATTTAAAACAAAAACCATTTTGACATTAATTTTTTAATATTAAATTTCATTTGTTATTGTTTGATAAAAATACAAAAAATTTTATTGTAAAAATGGCACTTGATTTCCCTTTATATTTTGATTTTCTGTAAACCCTAGCCTCAACCTTAAATTATTTAGAATCATTATTGCACTCTGATGAGAATCTCATTTACTGGCCCAGATGTATGCATTGTTGAACATCTTTTGCCACGGAGCTGTTTCCAACTCGCTCCACTGGCTTGGCTTGAACGGCAGCTGCCAGGTTCGGACGCAGCGCTCAGGGTGGGGCATCATTGCCAGGTGGCGACCGTTGGGCGATGCAAGACCGGCTACAGCATTAGGGCTGCCGTTGGGGTTGAAGGGGTACTCCTGAGTAGGCTGACCAGAGCTGTCCACGTATCTCAGGGCAACTCGGTTTTCAGGTGCTCCGACCAGACGGCCTTCACCGTGGGCCACCCAAACCCCAAGAACGCTACCCTCCATGTCCTTCAGCCACACTTCAGAGGCGCCTTTTTCGATACGAACTGCGGTGAAGCGGCTCTGGAATTAATTTTTAATTTTTTTACTCAAAATTTGGTTAAAACCTCACCTCGAATCTCTCCGAGTCGTTATGCCTGAGGGCAACTCCTTTGCCACTCCAGCCTAGGAGGGCCATCAGCTGACAACCATTGCACACTCCCAAGCTGAAAGTGTCAGGACGGGAGAAAAATGTGGCAAGTTGAGCTGCAGCTGATGGGTGGAATTGAAGGGCGCCTGCCCAGCCCTTGGCAGAGCCGAGAACGTCTGCGTAACTGAACCCACCGGGGAAAATAAGTCCTCTGAAGGCGGCCAATGAGTATCCAGCCAGCAGATCGGACACGGTCACATCCCACACCTAATTTGTTTGTCATCAATTATATAATTCATTTAAATCAAATGAAAAATTACCTCAAAACCGGCAGTAATTAGGGAAGCAACCATTTCCCTGTCTCCATTGACGCCCTCTTCCCTGAGAACCGCAATAGGAATCGCTTTGGAGGCCAAAGGTGGACGAGGAGTCCATTCGAAGTTGGCAACCTGTTGAGGCAGAGTTTTCCCTTGCACTAGGCCTTCAAATTCCTCTGCCACGCAACGGCCGTTGGCCTGTCGAAGCTCTAACTGGTAGGAGGTTTCCTCCCACAATTTGACCAGGCTGGACAGAGAAGTATCCAGGACGGTTACTCCATTAACTTTGCAGACGAATTGACGGTCACTGGTGGCCATGCCCACCACATAACAGGGAACGCCTCTGCCTCTAAAGGCGGCCAGAGCGGCCTCTCTGTTGATGGCGGCCACCTCAATCAGCCACCCCACCTCTTCGGCAAACACGATGGCCAAGGGTGGCTGTCCGGTTTTGTGGTCGATGCTCAATTGAAGGCCGCAGCAGCCACCAATGGCCATTTCAATTGCAGTCACCAGCAGACCGCCATCACTGATGTCATGGCCAGCAACTGCAACGCCGCAAGCAACCAAGTGCTGCCAAGATTTAGTTTCAATTACACGCTTTTCCTTTCACAGATGAAAAATTACCTGGATGGCTTCGAAGGCATCGACAAATATTTTTGGGTTCTCAACATCCGGAGATTCGTTTCCAACTTGACCCCAGCACTGTGCTAACGCTGACCCTCCCAGTCTGCTGTGACCTCCACTCAGGTCCACAAATAAAAGGGCGTCATGCCCAGGTAGCTTCAGGTCAGGGGTGGCCACCTTTCGCACATCAGGGCAGGGAGCATAACAGGAAACCACTAGGGTTCCAGGGGCCTTAAAATAATTAAATTTGTTCAATTTTGACCTCAGTTAAAAGTACTTAAAATAATTGAAAGCTTAGCAATTTATCTCATTATTTCCGGAAAAGAATTTGTAAAGAAGGGAAAACAAGCTTGGCTTTAAAAATATGAAGGAAAATTTATTTATTACAAAAAAATGAAATCAAATTAAGGGTAGCTTTGAGTTATTCATCATTATTTATAGTTAAAAAATCAAACAAACCTTAACCGTTTTTCCTTCAACTCTGGCAGCCATGGATAGCGAGTCTTTCCCACCGTCAATTGCAACTCCCAGCTCAGCCATCAGGTCACACATGGCAGCGCAGGCGTCCCATAGAGCGGCCCCCTCCCCTTCCAATTTTGCAGCCCACATCCAGTTGCCGCTGCACTTGACGTCCCGCAAATCACTGATGGCTGTGGTCGCCAAATTAGTCAAGGCCTCGGCCACGGTCATTCTGGCGCCGCGTGAAGGGTCCACTAGACCTTTGATAGGCTGCTCTCCTATGGAGGTGGCGGCACCTTCGTTGCCCCAGTAACTTAAAGCAATGACGGCAGCATCGGCCAGAGGGGCCTGTTGAGGTCCTACACACTGCTGCTGGGCAACCAAACCGGTCACACTGCGATCAACCTGAATAAGTTTTTATTCAATAGTAAGTTGATTTAATATATTTCATTTTTCTTAAATTTCAATGCTAACTAAAATAAGTGCTCATTGTCAGTTTGGAGATCAATTAAAGGATTTCAAATGATTTAAATAAAGATATTGTAATTTATTTTTTAAATTAATCTCTTTTTTTAACTTTTTATATAATTTACCTTGTTTGTAAGCCAGCGTTTACTTCCAACACTAGGCAGGCGCAAAACTCTTTCCAACGCCTCTTGGACTGTTAGTCCAGTTGGAAGACTCAGAGCAGGTCTTTGCCAGTTAGCTCTGCGCATGTCAAACTTCTTGGGTGGCATTTTCCCGAGAACAAGAGCCAGGTCCAGATCCACCGGCGGCCTATCGCCAGGTTTGGCCCCAGCCTCCAAAAGCCTGACCTGACCATCTCCAGTCACTGTACCCACAAAGTCAACTGGGCACTTTTCTCTCTTGGCCACTTTCCTCAGAAGATCTGCATCCTTCCCTTTATTCAAAAAGCAACTCTTTCAGTAAATTATTTAAATAAATCATAATTTACCTGCTCGGCATAATAGAGCGTCGTTTTCCTGGTACTCGGCGCCCCAAAGTTCCAAGGTGCTGATGGTGGGGTCGCCCAACTGGAATCTGTCCGCGTAAATTACGGCGCCGGCTGGCTCGACCAGCTCCTTAAGAACATTCCCATTTCCTCCAGCACCCTGGTCATGGATGCTGCATATAGGGTTGCCCTGAGGATGTTCGAGACAGGCGCGAATCACCCTGTGCAATTTTTGCTCCATTTCGGCGTCTCCACGCTGGACGGCGCCAAAGTCCAGATCTGCACTGTTGTCGCCTTGAACCTGAGTAAAAAATCAGTTATTTATTAAAAACTCCAAAGTTTATCATGTAAATTTAACCTCAACTGAACTGGCAGCTCCTCCTCCCACGCCAATTCTGTAAACAGGGCCTCCAACCTTAACTACTTCCATCCCTGAAGATATTATTGAATTTAAAAATTAAGCAGATCAGGTGAGATATGATTTTTTACCTTTTTCGGGAGCAAGTTTGGTGACCTGATCGTGGTCCAAGGCTCCGATGCCTCCGCTGAACATGATCGGCTTAACGTACTCTCTTCTCTCTCCGTCCGGCAAAACTAGACCAAATGACCTGACAAAGCCACACACAAGCGGCTCTCCAAACTTATTTCCGTAGTCGGAAGCACCGTTACTGGCTTCAACGGCAATTTCCAGAGGTGGAGCGAAGTTCGATGGGTAGTGCAGGGACGCATCTTCCCACGGCAGTTTGTAACCTGTTTAGGCAACGTTTTGAAATTCCATCTTTGAAATTAATATATATTCCAACCTGGAATGTGGAGAGCACCAAAACTGTAGCCAGTGGTGCCTGCAATGTAGTGGCCGCCGCGACCAACTGCATGCACATCCCTGAGGCGACCTCCGGTTCCAGTGGTGGCTCCGCTGAACGGAGCAACACCCGTTGGGAAGTTGTGTGTCTCTGCGGTGAAAACGATGTGCTGCAGGTGGTCCTGACGAAGGTTGAAAGGGCTTGGAACTGTGGGGTCAGTGGGCCTCAACGCAGTTACCTGAAATGAGGTCAAATTGAAAGACTAATTAGTGATTTTTATAATTTCAATGCTGAATGTGAAAGAGAACAAATTTTAAGAATCAAAATGAAAAATTTATTTTTGGGGTTGATTTGCTTATTATTGCATTAGAACCTTGGAGGAAAGTCAATTACTGTAGAATCTAAAAATTCTCTTGTCCGACCAAAAACTGAGTTTTTTATTCTGATTTTTTTTTTAATTTCAGAAAAAATCTGCTGCTGGTTAAGTCCTTAAAAATAAAATTTTACTTTAAACCCTTCGATGGCACTGGAATTATCGTTGAACCTGATGACGTTGTTTTGGTTCGAATGCTTTTGCGTTCGGATGACCAAGTCGAAAAGATTGTCGTCCTGAGGCACTCCATCGAGGATCACCTTTCCCTTGAAAAACCAATGTCTGCTGTGCTCACTGTTGGACTGGGCCAGGTCGAAACACTCGACAGAGGTTGGGTTGCGCTTGAGCCGCTGACCAAAGAGATCGCAGTAGAACTGGAGGTCCCACGGGTCAAAGGCCAGACCTTTATTGTCATTTAGGATAATTAGTCGGACTAGATTGAGGAATCAAAAGAGCACCTAATTTCTTGTCGACCTCTTTGAGCGCTTCTTGACCTCTCCCTAGAACGTCCACTTCAAACCACGGCTGGGGTCGGACGTCGAGGTCAAACGAGGTGAGTGGAGTTGCATATCGGCACTCGGTCATTCGATCGTGCAACAAGCTGACCAGCTGCAAAAATAATTACAATTTTGAAATTAAAAAAATCCTTTTCCTGAATGGTGTCTGATTTGGATTTGTTCTTAATTTATATTTTAATTTTTTTCTATTTCATGTCAGATGTTTTAATTAAAATGAAGGGGTTATCAGCCAGCTTATGGTAAATAGATGATGGATTGCTTATAAATTGAGTCATTATTTTCAGTGACGCGTGTGATGGGCTCATTGAACTGCAAATAAATCATTTAAATGGAGCAAACAACATCATTGTTTAAGAGGATTGTGCAGTAGTGCTGGACAAACATTTGCTTGGAACGTAAGTAGCAAACAAATTCAACTGTTCACATCATAATATAAACTTTGATAATTTCTGCCTAGAAAAATTAAGATTTATTTCTTTTGTACATAATTTCAGGATAAAAAAAAAAAATGTGCTTTGAAAGTGATTGATCCCCAGCTATGATTTGGCGCTGCCAAGGAAAAACCAGGTAAAACTAGAACGATTACGCTTAATTATTTAATAATTATACCTGTTGCTCAATTTTTCTGTCAGCCTTTTGGGGCCACCTGAGGAGGTACCTGGTGGCAACCTCGAGCCTGACGACAGGAAGTCCGACGGACTTGCAGATGGAAACTGCGTTGGTTGAGAAGGCCGTGGAAAAATTGAGTCTCGGTCCGATTTCGATGAGGACCGAGTCGTCCGCCTCCAGGGGCAGGACTGAGGCCTCCGTCAGCAGGTCAGGGGCCTCAGGGTCGGCCAGCAGCCACCGCAGTCGCTGCAGCTGCGTGCCGTCCAGGGTCGCCTCCACCTGGATGTAGAATGAAAGTTCCGCCTGGACGGACGCAAGGTCGGGGGCGGCCTTCCTCAGGGTGGCCAGCCGAGAGGCCAAGCGGTCCTCGGAGGCGGCAGGCGTGCGGAACAGACGGACAATCATGTCGGCGTGCGAGACAAGTCGTCGGAGCGGCAATCTTGCACTGACAGCCGGTCCGTGGTCCGACGAGCAGAGCAGAGTGCAATATACGCGCACGTGACCCCTTGAGGGCAGGTCAGGTGTGTGCAACAAGTGGTGGTGGAAGAGAGACTGAGAACAATTCAGTACATAAGAGTCCCTTCGAATTTCGCTCACTTTTGTCTGCTGAAAATAAAAATAAAATTAGTAATTGTTAATTTGTTTTTTAATTAATCTAATGCCAAAGTTTTCGGTCGTCGACCGACCCCACCTCGGCCGAAAACACAAAAATTGCAGAGGCAGAGCTCGGCACGGCACCGGCGGCGCTTTTGGCTATTGTTTCAAATTTAAAAAAATGGTTATTCCAGACTGGCCAACAAAATTTGTAATTATAATTAGAGGTTTTTATATTATGAAAGGTCTTTTATCCTCTATAGAAATAAATTTTTAATATTGATAGAAGAATTTCATATATTTTATTGTATGTAATGGAAACTCACTAAAATTTAAATGCTAAAATTATTTTATTTATTTTGAAACGTGTGGCACCCGTGATTAAAGAAATAAAAAAAATAAAAAGTAAACAAAACAAGTGGAGACCGGCTTCTTATGCAGCTTATTGTTGCAGTGATTGAATTTTTGAAATAATTTTTATTGAATGTTATTCAGCTAGTGTATTTTCTCAGTACTAACAGTACAACGTGAACAAAAATAACTAATCAATCACGAGAGAGAGGTTGGCACTCGAATCCATCCCATCATCGAGGACATCGAGCATCTAAAATGGCTACAGAAAATTGCATCGATGTTCAGGTCTGTGTACTATTCAAAATCCATTAAAATCTTCGAAAACCCACAAAAACTTGGCAGAAAGAATCAAATATTAATTATCCAATTTATAAACTGCAGGACTTTCGTTTCAAATCGGCGGCCAAAACCAAAGTTTTCACCGGAGCCTGGTCGGAATTCTCCTCGCATCTGAGTTTGCTTGCCAGTGCGAGTCGCTTCGGTCTCGTTTTTGTCGGAACACCGGATGAATTAAAAGGTAACAGTGATTGTTTTTACATCTGAACATACATTGAAACTAATTAAATTTGCAGTTTACGAGATTAAGCGCCTGATCGAGGCTGGAGAGACCTCTTCAGCTGTGCCCTGTCGCCATGTGCAGATCGACGGCTCGATTCGGATGTTGCAAATCAACTGCGACGACACCCTTCTGGCCGCGGTTGTCGCCTCTCCTGGTGCTCAGCCTCGGGCCTTCATTTACCAAGTATCCACTTTCCTCAACCAAGCCGCCGTGAGCCCATCGGGACACGTTGTGCTGGCCTCTGGAGGCGGCCACACTGTCACTGATTTTGCTTGGAACCCCGTCAATCCAAATGCCTTCTGCGTCTGCCTGTCAGACGGTCAGATTTCTTCATTCGAGGTGTTTATTTCTATTCTTTTCTTTTTTCAATTTTGATATGAAATATAAAATTGTCAGGTGAAAGGCCCTTCTGCAATAAGTCTGATCAATACAGTGGCCGCCGCTGCAGCTTGTGTGGCCTGGAGCCCAAAAGGAAAGCAGATTGTTGCGGCCACAAAAGACGGCCGCCTCTCCCAATACAAACCTGACTTGGCCTTAGTCAAAACTGTGGGGCCTCCGGATGGTTTGGGACAGTCCCCGGAACCTGTGGCCATTGTCTGGTTATCCAACTACCAGTTTGGAATCATTTTCAAACTCGGGGGAGCTGACGATCAGAGATTAAGTAATTATTTTTACCACTAAGTAAACTTCTATTTGTATTGAAAATATTTTTAACCAGGTCTTTGCTTGGTGAATACTCCAAAGGATGGTCCTGTTACGGCTCAAGACTTTGACGACGTGTGCTACTCATCAGGCGATCTTCGCCAAAACCAGTTTTACCTGAATAATGTGACTGGCTGGGGAGTCCTCCTGGTTGCCTCTGCCAACGGTGCCGAGGTGGGTCTCCTCGGACAGAAAGAGGCTTCAGTGTGGCAGCAGTGGACCTTGGAGGACTCGGCCAGAGCCGAACTTCCCATGGACAGCCATGCAGACACTTTTCCTCTGGGAATGACCTTTTGCACTTCGGCCACTCAGCAGTTAGTGTGGGAAGAGGCGCAGCTGCCGCACATGCCGATTCTGCTTCTACTCTCGCACTGCGGAATGCTCTGCGCCTTTTACGCCCTCAACCTGAAACCGGGAGCCCAGGAAATTTGCAAACCCATTGAAATGCAACCTCAGGCTGGTCTATTCACTGCCCCTCAGTACGGAGCCCTGTGCCTTAAATTTACTTGCTTTCTTAATGAGAATTGTTTGTTTTAGAATTGTCGCGACGAGCACGGAGGAACCGAAAGCAAAGCAGTCAACGTAAGTGCCTTTTTTAGTCATATTCGGAATTATATTCTAACCTCGTGCTAAGGAACAAAAGTTTGAAATTATGAAAATTATTTACAAATTATTTTCTTAAAAATTAGGTTCAATTGCAAAGCATTTGATTAATTTTAAATAAAAGTTAACTTTTTTAATTTAATACAATTTAATATATCAAGAAAATATAGCTTTTGATTATTTTAAATTCTGAACTGAACGGAAATCGTAGTGCTCACGGAAAATTGGCCGGCAGAGAGAGAGGGGCTCTACCTGTCAATTGCATTGAAACTTATGGATGCAGTGGAGGGGATGCCGGTCATTTTTCCGCGAGCACTACGAAATGTAATTCAACAACAAGAATTGAATTTTTTTAATTGGAAGCTTTAATTAAAAAAAAAAATTAAGCCCATAAGACCTGAAAAAGTTCTACTCTTATTGCTCAATGAAAGCTATTTTAGTTTCGTAATCTATCTGAAAAGAAACTTAATAATTTCAGCCCTTTTGGCCAACCCTTTTCCACTCCTGCTGCCGAGCCAGCCGCAGCAGCACCTGTTCCGAAGGCGTTTTCCATGCCACCGCCCTCAGCTCCGGCCCCTGCCAACATCTTTGGTGGCATCCAACCTGTAGTTAGCCAGCCTGCAAAATCAGAAGCTGCTCCTTCAATTTTCTCCATGGCTCGTCCTGCTGTAACCATAGCCCCAAAAGTTGACCCTCAACCGCAGCCACAACCAACCTCTGAGGTGAAGGTGATCAAAGAACCAGTGGCGGAACCTGTAATGAGCGAAGAGTCCTTCATTGCTGCAAGCACAGCCATCATGAGACAGTTTTCTGAGGAAATTTCCACCTCTTTAAAGCAGAGTGCTGATACATCATTTACGGTAAGAATATATTTTGATTCAATTTATCATTTCATTTTAAATAAACAAAAATTTCAGATTGCCTCCTGTGAGGATTCAAACACCATTGCCTCAAGCCTGAATTCTGCTGAAGAGAAGTCTGTGGAAATGCAGAAAGCAACCAACGATTTCAAGCAGCAGCTGAATGAGTTGCAGATTTTGAATCTGGAGGTCATCAGGCAGTACGAGGAAGTGCGCACTCGATTGGCACAGAGAGAAAACCCAGGATACATCCAAGCTGCCCGGATGAGACCTCTGGATCCAACAACTCAGGGCAAGAAGAAGGACATTGCCACCAGAATGCAGTACATTGAAAGCCAGACGGGCCAAGCTGCAACTCTAGTAAATCAAGCGTTTGGAACCCAACCTTTCAGACCTAGTTCGAATATGGCCTTGCACAGGACCCTCATCCTTCAGCGCAGGTGCATCTCCAACCTGAATGCTCGCCTTGACATAATGGAATCAAAGGTGATTATAAATTATTAAATTAAAAAACTTTTTAAATTAAATAATGTAAAAATATTAACCAATAGAAGCTTTTTTTTAACAAAAACTTGATTTCAGTGTGGTCACAAATTGCCATCAACAATGGACTTGTCCAGTTTGACAGAGGCCCTTCCGAAAACCCCCAAAAGCGCCTTGCCAGTGTTGAGTCGGAACGATGAGTTGCGCATGAGCGAATTCTTGAAGGACAGACCAATCAGTGTGGTGAAGAGGAGGATTCCGGCGCCAGCTCCTTCTCCAATTAAGCCAGTGTCTCCTCTGCGGCCCATTTCACCAATCAAGTTTGCCTCTCCAGTGGCCAAAGCACAGCCAGCTGCTGCTGCCAAACTGCAGGCTTCTCCACCCGCACTGCTCAGTCTGCCGGCTGGAATCACAATCACGCCAGTCAAGGCTTTTGTGCCAACTTCTCAGCCGGAGGTGCCAAAACCAGCAGTTTCTGTTGCAGCAGTGCCCTTCTCGTTCACCAGCAAACCCTTCTCCTTCTCTGGAGAGAGCAAACCTACAGATTTTTCATTTGGAGGAGTGAAAGATGCAGCGTCCGTCAACATCTTCGGAGGTACAAAACAAAAGGAGGAGACCAAGCGAGTTCCTTCCAAATTGGAAGTCGACGTTGTCAAGAATGTCCCTGCGGCGGAAGAGGAACCTAAGATCATTGAAATCAAAGGTAATTTGTTAGGATCCATCTTTTTAATTATTAATGAGTTAATTCATAATTTTTTTCAGCCAAAGAGAAGGAATCCTCTCCACTTTTGGCATCAATTTTACAAAGCAAGACGCCTCTCCAGCCCGAAACTCCAAAATCCACAACATTTTCGCAACCTTTGCTTGCCACTCCAACCACAGGACAGTCCGTCTCCATATTCTTAACACCAACCACAGCTTCAAAGCCGTCGCTTTTTTCTGGAACCAGCATTTTTTCCTTGCCTGCTTCCACCGGCAGTGCGGCCTCAACAAGTTCTCAGCCAAAATTTTCTTTTGGCCCAGGTTCGATGTCCACCTCAACTCCATCTACCTTTGCTTTCGGAACTTCCACCAAGTCTTCCATTTTCGGAACACCAGTCACCGCAGAGTCAACCACCGATTCCAAGCCGAGCGCAACCTCAACCTCCGAGACTGCTCCAACTGCTGCTGTTGTTTCCACCCCTAACCTTTTTGGTTTGGCCACAACCACTACTCCGAGCACTGCAGCTGCAGTTTCGTCCTTCAGCTTCGGCGCCACAATTTCTCTCCCACCAACTTCGAAGGAGTCCATCTTGACCACACCTGAGACAGCCGCCCCTGCCGAAAGTGTTGCTCCAAAAACCACCCCTGAAGAATCAAGCAAAACCGAAACTGCTCCAGTTGCAAGTCCTCCTCCTGCTGCTGCCTTTGGAGGTGCGGCACCTCCCCTTTTGAGCACCCCAGTCTCCACTCCGACCCCAACCGCCACTGTTGCTGCTTCACCCTTTTCAGCCGCTTCCCTGTTTGGCTCCACACCAGCCTCAACTGCAGCAGTTTCCACTCCATTTGGCTCCACCCCCACCACCTCTGTGACCACAATTTTTGCATCACCCCCAGCCACCACTGCAACCTTGACCTTCGGGTCAACCCCACCTGCAACGACTGCGACTTTGACCTTTGGGTCGACCCCAGCTCCTACCACTGCTTCCGCCTTCGGTTCGACCCCAGCCACCGCCTCCACCACCCCAGCTTTTGGGTCAACACCCTCTTTTGGCACTGCTGCCCCTGGTTCGACCTTTGGGACCACCCCAGTATTTGGGTCTGCCGCTTCTGCAGGCTCGACTACTTTCGGAACACCGTCGGCCACCCCTGCCTCGACCTTTTCCTTTGCCCAGGCTACTCCTGCCGCGTCCACGGACCAAGTGACCAACTTGTTCGGAGGAATGGGCTCCACACCAGGCGGCTCCCTCTTTGGCTCGTCGAGTTTCGCGGCCTCGCCCAAGCCGGCTGCGTCAATTTTTGGCGGTTCGGCCCCGCAGACGTCCGAGCAGAACCTGTTCGGAGGAATGCAAGCGTGCAGTCCGACAAACGCTAAAAACCTGTTTGGTCAGGCGCAGCCTCAGGCCAACCCATTCTCCTCACCCAAACCAGCTGCACAGTCAACCCCCAACATATTCGGACAGTCACCCTCAAGGTAAAATTGAGTTTTTTTTTTCATCTCCGAAATAATTTAATTAAAATTTTTAATCATTTCCCTCAGTGGAGCTGCAAATAATACAAGCACCAGCACTTTTGGTCAATCTGGAGGCTCCTTGTTTGGCCAGGCGTTCTCACCTTCCAAGTCCGTCTTCGGAGCAGGTATTTTATTTTATATCTCTTTTTTTCAATCAATTGTTAATTTTCTCAAACGCCAACAGCTCCGTCATTTGGCTCAAACGCCAGCTTTGGTGCTCCTCCTGCTTTCGGGTCTATGGCCAGTCCCCAGCAGCAGCCCTCCTTTGGCGGTGACAACCGCATATTCGGGTCTGGCTCCAACGCAGCCCCCTCATTTGGCCAACAAGCGTCGTCTCCACCCTCTGGTCTCTTCGGAGCCGCCGCCGACGCCCTGTCCTTTGGAAACCTGGCTCAACAGCCCTCTCCCTTCGGCCAGCAGCAGCAGCCGCCGCCGCCTCAGAACAACAACCAAGGGGCGTCCTTCGGTGGCAACTCCTTCTCCAGTTGGCGTTAAAACAAACACAATTCTCGACTTATATGAAAAATATTACATGAGCGTTTATTTAGTTCATCACTATTGTTATATTACATGATGCAAAAAAGTCCATATAATAATAAATAAAATACAAAAATTTACAAGGACAAGTTGAAAAGGAACGATCACAGATCATCACTCTTTCTTTGGACTGATGAGGCGCAACAACGCCACCACAGGCGCCTCGAATGATACAGAAATGGCAAACGCGATGAGGTAGGAAAGGACGACGTGCCCCAGGAACAGCAGCATCTGAAATCCACACAAATTCAATTGTTTGACTTTGTAAAGTTCTAAAAAAATCTAATAATTGATATATAATAAAAATTGCAAAAAAATTAAAAAAAAAAATAAGTTTTTGCCTGAAAATTATTCTTAAAAAAAGAAACTTACAACTGTAGTCCTGGCCAAGTGGAGTGGGCTGTCGACGTACATGACCATCATGCGGATGATGAGGGGGTGGATGAGGTAGGCGCAGTAGGTGACCCTGCTCATGGGGTAAAGACTGGGCGCCGAGAGAAGGCGGCCGACGAACCCGCCGTGGCCGGTGCTGCAGGCCACGATCACCCAGGCGGTGCCCAGCGCCCACGCCGTGTGGCTCAGCGAAGAGTAGGCGGCCGAAGTGTACGCGTCCAGTTGCGCGTCGTACAGGCCGTACAGCAGGCTCAGCATCACTGCCGCGCACACGCTCCAACTGTGTAAACGCAAAAATGCCACACAAAAAAATAGTAAGTAACAAAATATATTTAATTTAAGTTGTATTAATTTTTTATAAATTAATATTATTTTACATATATTTATTTTAATTAATATAATAGCCTCTCAATATAAATAAAGTATCAAATTTTACATGTTATTTGCTATTAAATTTTATACATATCTAAATTTCAAATTTGTTTATAAATTTTAATTCTAACAAAATGATAGTTTTATATTTATGAAGATTGGTAATTGGTTTTTTTAGTAGCAATTTTCAAATATTAATAATAAATATTTTAAGGTTATTATTTGCAATTTATAAAATTGATTGATTTTTTTTCCAGAATCTCATTTTAGTTCTTTAAATAAAAATTGTATGAGAAATTTTTGACACTTGTAAAATTTATCACTTCTATTTTTACTATTTTATTATTGTTTAAAAAAAATAGCAGCAGAGCGAGTTTCTAGTAATAAATTTTTTTATGAAATTTGTGAATTGGACTAACCCGAGGGCGGCGCCGCCCTTGCCGAGGCGCAGGCGGCAGTTCATGGTGAAGAGGAGCCAGCCGGTGGCCATGCCGACCAAGTACGGGCCAAGCCGCGTCCACGGCTTGTCATAGATTTTGTCGAAAAGGGCCAGTGGGTCGTCCATGCTAGGGTTGTGGTCGTTGTTAAACGCGATGTACGCCGTCGTGCACCACGAGCTGAACATCAGACCGCCGAACACGAGCGCCGCCGTCCGGAACCTTTCGACGGCCACCATCATCAGCAGCGCGCCCAAAACGTAGAACTGCGTGTCGTCGGCCAAATACCAACTCCACAACATGCACTAAAATTAAAAAGAAAAAATATGGTTTTATTTTCAATAAAAATACAAAAATTATAAAATTTTAATTTTTATAGATAAATCTTACCATGTCCTTCACCGGGAACAGGGTGTTGATGTAAAGCAAATTTCTCCACCAATACTGAGGGCAGTTTTCGTGGTCGAGGGTCGGCGGCTCGAAAACAGACTTGTGGTAGAACCAGCGCATTGAAACTTGAACCACTCCAAGAACAAACATATAAGGAGCGGTGAGCCTGAAAATGCGATTTTCTTTTATTAGCAAAGGCGAAATATTTGTTGACACAATTTTCAGAAAGAAAAAAATTAAGAATATTTTTACATTACAAAAAATTAAGGCGCCTTTTGTGAGATTTTAACACCAACGACTTTATAAATAATTTGTTACTTACAAAAATATAAAAAACTTTGAAAGAATTTAAATTTCACAGAATTAATTAATTCAATTTTTTAATTCATCCCACCCCATGAAGAGTGTGAAGTATTTTCCAGTATCATACATATTTGGCCGTGACGAGATATGATTTTGAAATCAAATAAATAGATTTTCTCGGTTAATTGAAAGATGAAAAAAATAAAGTGCGAGATTCTTATAAAATACTTTTTGTTCCGTCTCTAATCGTCTAATCAGAGTTTGCAGTTGTTTGTAACAAATCTTTAATAAATATTAAATTTTTTCACCGTCTCTGAATTTTAGCAAAGTTTTATGTATTTTATCCTTGGAAGAGTATTGAATTGACTTGAAAAACTCGAAAAACTCATAAAATAATAGCAAGTCGAGCATATAAACTTCAAACTTAATTAATACCGGCCTCATCTATAAGAAAAATGTATTCTTTACTAGTAAGATTTTTTTAAGATAACGATCGAGCTGCTTGATAATTAATAATAATGAAACAATGTCTTATCCAATTTGTTATGCAATTTTGATGGACCATTAATTTATGAAAGAGCGACAAATTATTAAAGAATTAAAAACGCTAATACGAGTTATTTAATTAGTATGCTCCTGTAAAAAGGGGCAAATGCCTGATAGGCCAGGGCGAAAAGGAGCTAACTGCGCTTTGAAAATTGCATTATCAAGTTTGCACGCTGAAAAAATAAATTGTTGTATAGGCTTTTATACCTGCCGAATCTGTAGGCGAGGAGTCCGAAGAACTGGAGTCCCTTGGACTTGAGCCCGGTGGCCTTGGTGATCTTGTTGAGGTCGACCTTGGCCGTGGTGCGGAAGTAGAGGAAGGAGAAGAGCAGGCCGCTGATGAAGAAGAAGGTGTCGACGGAGAAGGCCGCGTTACTGATGGTCTGGAAGAGGAACTCGCGCTCGACGACGCCGCGGAAGTCGGTGTTGTCGGCGTACTTGAAGATGACGATGCACGAGTGGCCCAGGATGACCCACACCATGCTGAGAAAGCGCAGGCCATGGATGGGCGCGAGCGTGTCGCCGCCGACGCTCTGGTCGAAGATGGCGCGCGCGTTGCGCTGCACGCTGAAGCAGACGAGGAAGGCGCTGAGCGCCATTTTGCGTTTGGGCGCAGGAACCACGTCCAGGGCGATCGGCGGCTTGCCGACGCTGCCGTCCTCGCACTCGGGGGTGGCGGGGGCGGCCGGTGGGGGCGGCTTGCGCGCGTCCACGATCGAGCCGGCCACCATGAGGGCCAGCACGAGGGCGCACACCAGCGCCAGCACCACGAAGGTGCCGTCCGCGTAGAACCGGTACTCGTCCAGCTGCGGCGAACGCACCGCCTCCAGCGTGGCGTTGCGCTGCTCCAACTGCGTCAGTCCCGCCCCCACCAACACCCGCAGGTCCTCGAGGCCGCACGCACGTGGCAGGCACATGCCCACGTGCACGGTGCGCGTCTTGGCCGTGATGCGCGGCACGTCCAGGCTGAAGCGCGCCACCGAGAACACCGCCGGCACCACCGCGTTCTCCTCCAGCGTCATGCACAGGTCGCTCGAACCCAGCCAGAAGTTGTTGCCCCACAGGAAGCCGGTTGAGTACCGCCCGCTCGCGTCAAACACTGCGAAAATAATAGAAAACAAAATTTAGTAATATACATACATATTTTAAAAACTTCTACTAAAAAAAAATCCATGACAAAATTTTCTTTTCTTCAACTTTTCAATGTAAAATCTGATTTTTCACAAGACTTTCTTTGCAATCAAAGTTATTCAGAGTAAAATGCATTGGAAAAAATCGATGCCCGTAGCAATTTGCGCGCTTTCAAATGCTTCTCATCCGCGTTTACATGTGTGTGAGAGTAAATCAAACTTGTAATTTTTCCATCTTGGCGAGAAAATAACTTTCCTCGTCACTTTCACACTTGCGATCAATTAAATAACATTCAAGAGTGCAATTATGTGCGCAGTCAGCGGCCATAACTTTCCTCTCTTGTCAATGAAATCAAACAATTTGCATTTTCGTTTCGGGCGCGCGAGACCTTTTACAGCAGAAAAACGCCGCGATCTCGGATGGACATGGAGAAAAAATAAATAAGAAATTTCACTGCTGGTCGGCGCATGTTTGCCGAGCCAACTCGACATAACCACTTGACATTGGGGTCAGCGCGGCAAGGTCCTCTCTTTGTTTTATCAAAAATTGGCGGTGCCAATATTAGACGAGCAATTGAACGGCGGCGGCGAGAAAGTGCTCGGAAATATGTGGGCCGGCGACGTGCTAATCAGCGCATGGCACATCATAGAAAATCAATCCCGCGCCGATCAAACCTTTTTTGTTTCAAACACAAATTTCTCTCTCTATCTCATCTTCCAACAATGCAATGGGTGAGTGGCCGCGTGCGCGACAAAAGTAAAAGTGTCTCTCTCGCCAGCAAAAAGCAGCCGGCTGTAAAAAAATATATATTTGTCTTGAGATGCACTTTCGATTTTAATCCGAGACAATTGGATGTGTAAAAAGAGCCTTCACTTTCGTGTTTGAATAAAAAAAGACACTCTCGATTTGAATCTGTCAAAAGTGATTCTCAACCTTCACTCAAATTGAAGAAGCTCTTCATTATTTCGGGGCCGAACTTTGTTTGCCCACATTTGAATAAATGGAAGAACAAACAGTTTAACTTTTTTCTTCAAAGCAGGCGTTAAGAGATTTGTAAATGACAATAAAATGCTATTTATATTATGAAATTAACCTCCATGCAGCTTGGAGATTTATGTGGTTAAAAAATATTTTTTTTTCAAAGGCAAATTATTAGGCTGAAATTTTAATTGCAAAAGTCGCTTTTGTTGAGTAAAATTATTTCGAAAAAACCTAGATACTTTTTTTAACAAATCATTAATTATTTTTGAAAAAAATTGTTTGTTTGAAGCTTCTACAATACCATTTTTATAAAAATACAAAAAAAAATTAAAGTAAAAAATAAAACTTGATCTGCATAAAATAATTGAAACAAAAAAGTCAAGATATTATGAAAATTAAAAAATCAGGAAAAATTCCCAAAATTTGTAGGCCATGTAGGTAAAAATGGTAACACGCAGCTTACAAAATGCCCAAAGAGTTTAAAAATTATTATTTTTTTGTCTGCAAGAATATAAAACAAAGATATTTTCTAACTTCATATATTTTAAATCAGCAAAGAGAGAGATCCGTTGTCAGATAGAATTTTGGAGAGAATTTAAAACAAATCTAGAAGACTATTTTCGCCCGCAGTATTATACGAATATTGTTACATAAAACCTGTTATGAAGAGTTATATGATGACTAAAAGCAGCTAATAAGCATTAGAAACTCTTTTTGTGTGAATATTGCCACGAGCTAAATACAAATCGGCAGAAATTTGGTGGGATGCGACAGCTGGCAGGAATGATTTTTAAATGTCGTTGCGTCAGTTTGAATAACAAAAGTTTCGCGATCGCTACTTTCAGTTTCATCCTCTCAGCTGGCTTTCCTGGTCTCAGCTTTCTTTCTCTTCGCAGCACCACCCTTGTTGGAGAGAAATTACCGAGCGTGCCAACGGTGACCCACATTGGCCATTTGTCGTCCGGTGATTTACGACTTTGAAATCGCCAGACTTGGCCGCCGCGACTCGAGAACTTGAACCTGAATTGCAAATGTCAAGAGAAGGAGAGATAGCAGCGGAGGCAGGTCTCGCTCAAAATAAAACAAAAAATTGAAGTTTCGCTCGAGAGGATTTCAGACGGTGTCATTTTAAAAACTTTCATTTACAAAATGCAAATTATTTCAAACGTGGAATGTTTTATTACTGTAAAAAATTAAGTGTATAAAATGGAACTGAAATATTAGCAGAAAAAATGAAAAGATTTAATCCTTATTAACTTAATTAAAGTTTTTTTGAGAATTTCATGAAAGATTTGATTTAAAATGTCTGGATGAATTAAAAAAAAAAAGATATTAGAGTTTTCTCTTGAGAAATTTAAAATCGATCTTTTCTTCAGTTTCTATGAGAAAAAAAGCTGCATTTGTTTTTAATTTGCATGATAATTATTTTGTGTTAATTTTACTAGCAGGAAATATCAGCGGATTTTCAATAAGCTTGTACGCGCCTGAGAAAGAGATTTCTCTTCTTCTCTTCAGTGCGTTCAGTCGAGTTTGTTTGCCTCCTTTTAAGAGGTAAAAATCGGTGAGTGCAGTCGCCGCTTCCTGTGCCTGACGTGCAAACAAGACACAATTACAATTGTAATTTGAGTCCGTGATCGGTGAGCACGCACAATGAAAGTGACAGCTTGTCTATGGAGAAAACACGATTCAAAAGTTTTGAACGTTTTCAATTTTGCAAAATATTTCAACAGTAAAAAATCAAATATCTCAATAATTGAGATTTGCATTTTCTTCGCATTTCCCTTATTGAACAGAGAGAATTCACTTTCTAAAACGCAAAGAAAGTGTATTCGCGCAAACAGGCGGAGAGAAAGAGAAAAAATGTGCGCTCGGAGACTTGAACGGTCGCAAACCACTCTCATTTGTAGTAAAACTCGGTAGGCAAAATCATAATTACATTGAAAGGAAAATTATTGTCTATTTCTTCACAGACACAAAGAAGCCAATTTCCGAACAAAAGACGTCAAGGTTGCCCCAGAAAAGTCAAAATGGCAATTGTGTTAACAAACGTAGCGTGCGGAATTGAGAGTTACGACAAAATGACGTGATCTCATGCACTTCTCTTTCTTTCTCTCTTGTCTCCGGCGGGCGTAATAGCCGAATTGCATAGAGTGAGTGTTGGTTACGCCATTCACCTGTGTCACCCTGACTATAAAGAAACGGCGAAAATTAATTGCGCCAACGATGCACCGTCATGCTGGCCCAAATTTGTTTGTTTGTTTGAAAATATTATTACATGCTCTCTCTGTTTTCTTCCGATTACGCAAATTCAATTAATCAAATGACTTGTCTCTCTATCTATTGTTTGGCAATTTTGCAACTAGAACAATTGTAGAAAAGTCGGAGAGATGCGAGGGGCCTTCTCGGAGGTTGAAAACAACGTTTAGGAAAGTCGCACATGCATGGACCCGTTACTTCAACCTAGAAATTGATGCTAATGATCCAAGCTAATTTTCAGACTTGAGCTCAGACTCTCAGATATGTCAGAAATAGACGGATTTCATCTTGACGTGTTGTGATTTCTCATGAATCAAAATTGAAAGAACAAAAAAAAATTAATGTAGGCGTGAAAGTGAAGTAGAAATTTCCACAGGAACTTAATTAATTTTTTCATTAAAGTAGTACAAAAACTATTTTTAATTTGGGTGTAAAAACAAGAAGATTTTACAAGAATTTTACTATTAAAATCATTTAAGTGCAAAAATAAATTAAAATTGAAAGTAAAATAAAAATTTAAAAATTATATGTAATAAAACAATTTAAAAATTTTAGGTGTGAAAAAATTAAAGATCCACTCCGGTCAATTGTATTGCTCTCTATTCTGAAACATTGCTAAATTTCGAGTATATCTTGTGAAAAAACTATGTGAAAAATCCAAACCGTTGCAATCAAAAGAAAACCCAATTCTCCCATGTTTTTCGCGCCAATCTTTAAGAATTTTCACAAGAAATTAATTAAATTAGTCACTAAACTGCAAAAAAAAAATCAAAATTGAAAGTGCAAATAAAGGTGTGGAAAAAAAATTAGAAATTTAAATAGAAATTAACTTTAAAAGACCATCATTTTTAATGAAGAATTAACACTTCGGCGCGTCTATCAGATCGTTTATTTTATTTTTATTTTTAGAGGCTCGACCTTGCCGGGTCACTTGGTCCAGCACAAGGAAGTGTGGATTGGGTTGGTGCATCTGGCGGAGAAAGTGCATTTAGCATGTAGCAGCTGATGCAACGAGACTGCTGTTTTGTGTTTTATTGGAGCACCGAGGAAAGTAACTCTCTCGATGCTCAATGGAAATATAAAAAGAGGCGCAGAGAAAGTACTATGCAAGTATATATGGAAAGAGCTAAACTCTCTTGTTAATTACCGCACACACATTATTATTTTGTTACGCAATATCTTGAATTTTATACGCACGGATGATGCCGAATTAACACGTGTTTCCCTTTTGCGCAAAAGAAAGCGCTCGAAAAGAATATGAAGGAGATGAACAAAAAAAAAATTGTGACTTTGCGCATTTCTCTGTGGGCCAAGGTCTGTCTGCTTAATTTTTCCTGCTCTTTGTTGGAAATTGCCTAATGATCGTTTTGTCACTTTTGCTCTTGTCTCCTCTCTGAATGTAACAAACACTCATTGATTGTCGTCTTTGCCCAACCTAACCCTTTCAATCCTCTCAACTGTTTCGTCACTTTTAATCAGTCGGATTGGATGAGATCAACTGTTTGTTTAAACATGGGTTTAGTTGATGGGCATGACCTTCTGAATAATGTCAAGCAACAAATGTTTGGAAAAATAATAAGTTTTTGTGAATTTTTGAAATTTTTTTCTCTGACAGCTTTGATACTTTTGTTATTATTATTTATTTTTTAAATGTCAAAAGTTTTTTCCTTGAGAATAATTCCAGACTTCGCAACAGTAATTTAACCTGACCAATAAATAACAAATAAAAATTATATAATTTCAAAAAATTCAATTTTTTGAATCACTTATTATCAGTTTAATATTGAGTTACGTATGACCTAGAACCATGAAATCAAAACGGTTTCATAATAAAATTAAACGGTTAAATCCCTTGAATCCAGATGCATCCAACCAAAGTCGCGCACTTTCTAAATGCGGCGAAAATTGTGACTAATGCGCGGGCACGTGATTCATTTTCCAGAACACGGATCGTTGTGATTGTTATTTGTGTATTCAATCCTCAAGCGGCAAAAAATATAATATATTGTATAACACGCAAACATTGATACTTTCTTCGGCCGAAAACTTTCATTTGATTTAAGTGCGTGCAAATATCCAATATAAATTCAAAACAGGAGGAGAAACCGACTTTAAACCGTCTGGTTGTGTTAATTTAATTTAGGTTCGAAATGAATTGTTCAGCTGATTCTCGCAAAACGGTAGACTCAGCAAGCGCCGCGCAAAGCAATAATAAAAACATTGTGCTGAGCAAAAACATACAAAAGGTGACGCCGCGTGTTTGGCTTTTTCACAAGAATCGAGAATTTACTCAACCCTTTTGCGAAAATTTAATAGGGTTGCGTAAGATAATATTTTATTTAGACTTGTGTATGATTGTTTTATTTGTTTATTGGTCAAAAAGAATTAAAAATAATCCGCAAGAAAAAATTGTATTTATTTTCCTTTCAATTTAGAATTAAACAAAATAATTTTCTTCAAATTTTAAATTTTATTATTACTTTATATAGAACAAAATTTTTTTTATTTTTGTTCAAGGTTTTTAACTTTTTAAACAATTTATTTCTAAACTAAACGCTAATTATTATCTAAAATTTAATTAATATTATAAATTTCAGGAAATGCCAGAATTGTATATAATTTCGGCATATTAAGTGTGGCATGTTAGTAAATATTTATTAATTTGAGTTAATAGAGCGTTGGGCTATTTTCGGAGGCGCCCGAGGCGTCTCTCTCTATAACTGCACTAGACCGGTGCGATTGCCGCCTCCGGGGGCAGCGCGGTTACTCACTTTTGGCGGCCCAGTCTTGGTGGGTGGCGAGGCCGTCGGCGAAGGCGGCCATGGCTTGGGCGCAGGGCACGGTGACGTTGGTGGAGGCGGCGTCGGAGGCGGCCCGCGCCGGGTCGAAGAGGTCAAGTTGGCGGGCGAGGTCGGGGGCGGCCGCGGCGGCGGCGGCCAGCAGCAGCACCACGAGCGGCAGACATGACGACTCGGCCATGTCTTAGGTCATTCCTTGACTGTCTGAGAAAGTCTCAGTCGCGCCGACCAAAGGCCCACCTGCCGAGGAAAGTGGTAAGGGAGGGGCGGAGAAAGGGAAACTCTCAGGTACAGGGTCTCTCCCCCGCGTGCGCGAAACCCAATCTGCGAATGAAATCTTTTTCCCTCCATAAAAAGCAACAATTTCGTTTCTTATACAAAATATTTTTTATTTAAATGTTAATAATGATCCATTAAAATTTAATTCTTTTTTGTTATTTCAATAATAATTAAATCCAAGAAATTTGGAAATAATTTGATTTAATTTTTAGTTATTAAAAAAATACTAAGAGCACGACCGAGAAAATTTAATTTTTTGTCACTCATAATTTTAATGGTTTAACTGAATCAAGGTTTAAACAGATTGAAGATAATTTTTTTTTCTACTCTAGATTGATGAATAACTTGAAAAAAATCAAGCAATTTGTTTCAATCAACCTCAATCATAGTTTTTAATGCGATTTTAAGGCTCCTTGGGGCCCTCAACCTTGACCCAAAGCCAAATATTTAAATATTAAGGGTCCCTGGGCCTTGATAGATTGAACTGCAAAAAGTAGAGGCTCAGATTATGTCACCCAGTCAAATTTGTTATAACTTTTTTTGTATTCATTTATCAAGTGCAAATTAAACTTTCAAATCAAAAAGGATTGAGAAACAAATATTTTTCTCTTGTCTTATTTATTGTAACCTTTTAAAAAATATCGACCTTTTTAAGCGATTTAAAACTCAATTATTATTTATTGAGTATTATTATTGTAGAGTTTATAATAACAGCAAAAAACTGATTCAGTAAAAAGTGGCTATTTAAGTAAAAATATTTAGGCTTTTCCGACATTTTAAATTAATTGAGATGCATAAAATCTGCTGTTACATTATTTTAATTGTAAAACCAATGAAATTTCCAATTTGTTTTTAATAAAGTCCTGAAAATTGTTAAAATCTTATTCCTAACTTTTGGTGCTGACCTAATTTTTCATTTGTTTTTTAACCAGTGCCATTTTTCTTAAAAAAATTAAACTTTTTCTTGGAAAAACACCATCAAAATATTTAACATTCACAACTTTTACTGTACCATATTTTCCTGTTGTTTGGAAACCTCTGACAATAATTTTCACAAGCTTTCTTTTGATTTATCGAATTCACGTGTGTTTTAATCCATTATTGTGGATTCCTTTCTACCTTTCTCGCTCCGCTTTTTGCGAGAGAGAGAATTATATGTGTGAAAATATAAAACCTCAATCGAATGGAGCACAGATCGTGATCATATTTTTCTGGCTTCCTCCTCCGCTATCTCTCGCGCGCGTGTTCTCCTTCCGCACTCTCAATTCATCTTCCTGCACGTCAAAATTGAAGGAAGATTAAAACAAAAAACAACATTGGAGAGGAAGTTTGAGATATTGTCCTATTAATTATCACCTTTCTCCTCAAACACTGTAGTAAAATTAACCCAAACAAAAAGTTAAATTGCTAGTCCAACAATTCGCAGAAAAAAATAAGTTATTATAAACACAAGTGAAATTTTTTTGCTAGAATAAAAGCGTGACGAGATCAAAGGGATATTGTTTTGCTGTGGTGATAACACGTTGGTTTCGCGTGCGGTTTTTTTTTCGGCAAGTGGCCCACTGTGTGATCTGCGTGGTCTACTTGTCCTTTTAAAGAATGGCTTGGCCGCACGCACGCGAGCCGCTCTGCTCATCAGACCGTTTATTACATATATAGCCGCCGGCGGAATGAATCGCTCACTCAAGAATTGTAATTTTTTTTTGTAAAAAAAGCATCTACGTTTTATCAAATTGATTCCTCCAAACAAATAATTTCAATTTATTATTTTAAAATTTTGAAAAATATTGTTAATAATGTGTTTATTTTTTTACGTTAAAATCTAACATTGTTTCCTAAAAATTTAAAGCCCTCTCAGCCCCTAAATTTGCTCCACTTTGAAAGATTAAAGATTTTTAGGAACACAAAATATCACTTTTAAAATTGTCATGCTTCTGAACTGCAACGACATCATCTCAAAGCCTTTGCGAAATATGCATCAGGATGTTTTGGTTCAGGTAAATGTTCAGCTTAAAAACTTTCACTTTCTACAGCAATGACGATTTAAACTCTTTTTAATCAACGCACAGTACTTGAGCATTTAAAATGAATTTTTTTCAGAACTTGCGCAATGTTGATATTATTTAGATTTTAGTTGGACTGAAAATTTTTTTTACATGCTAGAATAGGAATAAATGAAAAAAAAAATATATATCAAAACCAAAAGTATGTAAAAATGAGCTGTATTTTGCACTTGGGCCACGGAGAGAGCATCTCACTTAAATTATTATCTTCAATTTAGCAGATATGTTAATTGGGAGGAGTGTAGAAAGTAGACGCAAGTGTATATTTAAGAGTCGGTTGCCGTTACTCGTCGGTTTGCATTTTTTATTATAAATTAAGTAAGCTACATCACTACAAGTTGATCACATCTGAACATTTCTTTTAACAAAATACAATAAAAGCAAGAAAATAATTCGAGAGAGCTGCAATCAGGGAAATACCGAGATATGAAAAATGCATAAAAACTGCAGTTTTTTCTTTTAGGCTTGGCCACAATTTTTAAATGCACATTTTAATGAAATTTCGCAAAAAAACCCATTTCAATAAAAGTGATTATGCACACAAAATCAAACGTTTTCCAAGAAACAAAGATAAAACTTTGACAACTCCACCAATTTTGGTCCAAAAAACCATTTTCTAAAAAACATTTGAACCGCTTATTGAAGATTTCAACCCAAAGTTTGAAATTGGTTTGACCTTTTTTTTTTAAATTAGCGGCCGTAACCCTGGCTGAAGCCGGGCTTCTGCTGGGCGACGTCGGGGGCGACGACGAACTGCTGCTGCTGTTGTTGCTGCTGCTGGAGGTCGTGGGCAGGGGTGGCCAGCACCTGGTCCACCCACTCAACGTCGAGGGCGCACATGACCGCGGGTTGGGGCTGCGCGCAGCCCACGTCCCAGCTGCTGGCGCCGACGACGGCGTAGTGGCCGTCGCCGCGGGGACAGACGAGGGCGCCGCCCAGGTTGACGGGGCACATGGTCTGTTGAGGGTCGACGGGGGCGGCGCACATGAAGCTGCTGTGCAGCTGGAAGTATTTGCCCAGGTAGGTACTGCGCAGACTCTCCTCGCATTGCGCAGGCGCGATCGGCTGCACGGCCACGCGGCTCAACTTGCTGGCGCCGTCCGCCGGCTTGGGCCAGCTGGACATGAGGCAGGCGCCGCTCGCGGACACCAGAAGCCCCTCGGGCGTCAACTCGTCGGCCCGCGGCAGGCACACGGCGCCCACGAAGCGGCCGAAGCGCAGCGACTGCTGCAGCACCAGCACGGCCAGGTCGTTGGCCTGCGTGGCCGAGTCGAAGCGCGGGTGCGGCACCGCCACCTTCACGCCGGCCACCTGACGCTCTTGGGCCGACGAGTACGGCGACCACGAACCCACCTCAATCTTCAAATCGTTTGCGTTGCGTCTGTAAATGAAACAATTATTATTACAAAAAATCACAAAAAATTAAAATTAAGTAAAATAAAAGGAACAAGTTATTAAATATTCAAAACTTTGTAAGAAAGATTTTAGTTCTCATACATATTTTGCTGGAAAAAATATTTTTTAATTTTGTATTTTGCATATAAAAATATAATTAATCAGATTTTAATGTTTTAGTTTTATCATTATTATAACCCGTCTAAGATACAAATCTTTTCCTTTTTTTTTTTCTACAAAAGGACTTTTTCACCAAAACAATTTAAATACAAAAAAGTTATCGTTGACACAAATTTGGCAGAAAAAATTACGGAAGAAAAATTCAAATTTTTAAACAAATCTTACTTACATTTTTTAGAGGACCAATATGAATGTGTTGTATGTGTTTATTATTATTATTATTAAAAAATGAAATAATAAAAATCAAAATTTTGAACTCACCCTTGGACGCAGGTGGCCGAAACGAGGATGGCCGTTTCGCTGATGATGGCGCCGGCGCAAAGGCGGGCGCCGTCAGCCGCGGTGACCAGCGTTTGCCACGGGAATTCTCCGGGCCCACTTTCGCCGTCCTGGGGAGTTCCGGGGGCGGCCGAGCGGATTCCGCAGGTAGGGCCGGCAGGTCGGACGGGTTGCACGGGGGCGGCGGCGACGACGGGGGCGACGAAGGGGCGGCTGGTGGTGGCCTGCTGGGCCGGCACCTTGATTTGCTGGATGGGGAACTGGTTGTTGGCCGGCGACTGCTGCTGGAAGAACTGCGTCTGGCTCACCTGCTGTGGAGGGTTGGAGGGGTAAGAGGGTTGAGGGGTGGGGTAAGAAGGTTGAGGGGTGGGGACGAAGGGTCTCGGCGGAGGGTCGACGGGGTACTGAGGCTGGACGGGCACTGGGGGAGGAGGGGCGGGTTGGACGAAGGGTCTGGGCGGAGGGTTGAAGGGTTTCGAGGGTGGTGGGGGAGGAACGTTGGCGGCCACCACTGGTTGCGGCTTCAGGGGTTGCTGGGAGATGACCGAGGTGGCGTAGGCGGGCCTGTTGTCAATCACGTTGGCGGCGACCTGCTGCTGCTGGAACTGGTTGAACTGCTGCGACTGCTGAGGGAACTGTTGCTGCTGTTGAGGGAACTGCTGAGAAGGGAACTGTTGCTGAGGGGCACCCCTCGGAGGCAGGCAGCAGATTCCGGTTGAGCCGTCATTCACAACGCGACAACCCTATAATTATTGAAAAAGTAAATAATTTATTTCCGTATATAATAAAGAAAATTAATAAAATAATAATGAATAAATAAGTACTTATTTATTTAGTTATTATAATAACTAAATAAATAAAAAATTTAGATAAAATAAATTAGTTAACAAGTATGCAATATTACCATTTTATTTTTGTGCTGAAGTTATTTTTTAGGAAATATACGAAGTATTTAAAAAAAATGACGTACTTTTTGTATAAAATTTTGTTCAATATCCATCTAATTTTGTGATACAATACGTTTCCATAAATATTAAACTAATAAATCTTAAATGTAGTGATTTAATTAGTAAACTGAATCAAAACTAAAAAAGCGCGGTCATGAATTTGAAAATTATTTTAAATCTCACATTTTTTTCTATTGAATTGTATTAATTGATAAAGTAAAAAAAATATATTTAGGATTTTGCAGTGGAATATAATAAATGATTTTAATCTAAATTTATTTACCTTCTTGGGAAGGGCCATTCGCTCTCCAGGGCATTTCCACATGGCTTCACAGGAGGTGCCTTGGTCGCAAATTTCCTGGGTTTCGGGCCAGGGGTCCTTGTAGTTGGGGTCGCGGCAACAGAATCCGTAGATTCCGGTTTCAGGGTGAACACATTCACTCAAAGGCACGCGAGTGTCATCTCTGGCAATCAAATATATAGTAAAATTAGTACAATAATTGAAGTATAATGGAGTTTAAACGTGAAAAGTATGTAAATGTAATGTTCAAAAGTTTAATTCAGTTAATAATGTAACTAGTTCTAGATATTACTTTGGAAATATTTTACGTTAAATGTAAATTTAAACATACATAAGCAATTAAATTAATCTTTTTTATGTAGCTAATTAACACTGATTAATTGCACACGACCAAGTTTACATATTTTTTAATTTGCATATTTCCAGCCAAAATTAAATAAATCAAATCAAGTAGTAAACATTAATTTAAAGTTACCAGTGAAAGATTGAAAGTATCAGATTCGATTATTTCTTTAGTTTTCAATATGAAAAATAATATAATTTAATTGATTAGTTTTGCTTTATATTTTCTCTAAGATTTTTTTTATTTTATAAGAAAATAATTTAATTTTTTTCTTTAAAATAGTTTTTCTTGCCTAAATTACGTTTGAAGAAAAATTTTGATAAGCAAGGCAATTTCTTAAATATAAAAATTTTGGTCTTTTTGAAAGCTGGTATTTTCTTTCTAATTGGAAAACTTAAGTTTAATGCAAGTAAAATTTACCTGGCGATGGCAACAGGGGCGTCGGACGCGACTCCGGCCGCAGTGCAGTATTCGAGGGCGACACACACGAGGGCGGCGGCGCACCCCACGTGAGGGGTGGTGTTTTGGGGTCCGGTGTAGGGCTTGTAGGTGGAGGTGCTCTGCTGCTGGGGCGGGAAGCGCGGGGTGTCGACGGGGCGCTGCACGACGAGGGAAGGGGCGCCCTGCTGTTGGATCAGGTCGGGCACGCGGCAGCAAACTTCACCCCTGGCCTGCACGCACGGTTGGTTCTGCGACTTGGCCTGCAGCACGTCCTCCTGCCGAAGCACCCCTGAGGCGCACATGGCGCGGGCCACGCACAGGGCGCCCTCGCGACAGGGGGCGCCGGCGGCGGGGGCGGCCGGTTTCACCACCTGGCCAGTGAGGAAGGGGTTGTTGGCGTAGTTGGGCTTCTGCTCCACGATTTGCGGTTGCTGGGGGTACGTTTGCTGTTGCTGCACCACCTGTTGTTGCTGGTAGCTGGGTTGTTGCTCGTGGTGCTGGACGGGGGCGGCCGGGGGCGGACTGTTCAGGTTGACGGCGCCGTTCAGGAAGGGGTTGTTCGAGTAATTCGGTGGCGGCTGCTGGGGTTGGGGTGCGGGTTGTTGGGGTTGGAACGCGGGTTGCTGGGGTTGGTACGCGGGTTGCTGAGGTTGAGGTTGGGGTGCGACGATCGGCTGCTGCTGGTGCACGGGGGGCTGCTTTTGCTGGATGCAGTTTGTGCCGCAAAACTCGGTGAGGCCTGTGGGCGCCGAAGCAGAGCCGGCGGCGGGGGCGGAGGGCTGCTGCGGGGGCCCGTAGCACTGGGCCGTGGCCAGCAGGGCCGTGATCAAAAATGCCCTCATCCTAAAGAAGAATATTATATTTTTATTAGATGTTGAAAATCGTTTAGGACGAAATTATTTGAAGGAAAACCCAAATTAGGCAACCTGCTGTGCACTGCTGTGGAGCAGGTTGCAGAAATTTGAAATGAAGAAGAAATATAAAACTCGATGAAATTTTAAATTTTAATTGGGTTTTAATGTAAAAAAGAAAAACCTCAGCTCATCTGAATGAAAATATATTGAAACGACAAAATTATATTATGAATTATGAATATAAAATTTAATCAAGAGTTTGTTGCACTATAAATTAAATTAATACAAATTGCTTAAATTAGATTATTTATCTAAAAAAAAAACCAGAACTAATCAATAAAAAATTGCGTTTAGCAAAGGAGCAAAAGCAGCAAATTCAAGAGTCGCAATTCCAGAATGTGCTTAGTAACGCCAAGGAGGAAAAGGCAAAGGTAAAAAAGCCATACTTGTTTACCTGAGAGGCAGCGAGACGCGAGTGTTGCCAGGCAAGGCCAGGAGACGCCTTATATATCCCACGGCACCGGCGAACAAAAAAACAAATCATCCTCTCTGCCCTCGTGAGTAAAGCGTCTTTCCAGCTGCAATTATTATCCACTCTGTGTGTGTGTCTTTCTGTTTCCTCCTGTGAGCATCTTTCGCAGCGGGGGACACGCGGCCGACCAAACAAAAGCAGCAAAACACACACCCATTAATCATAATTGCATAGCACAATCGATTGGCCATCAAAAGGAAAGGTGAATCCATCGAAAATTTATAATGAAACGTGAAAAATTGTATAATAGATTGCCTGCGTGGTGCGTCTTCATTAATTTTTAGGGAGCCATATTCTTTTATACTTTTTCTAAATCTTGTGCGCCTTAAATATTTTAATGGGACACAAATATTATTTAAATAAATTTAATTAAAAAGTTTCAGCTTTTATTACCTTTTTAAGTTTCATGAAGTTTCAAGATGGTAAAATAAATGCAGAAAACTAATAAAATTGCAATTTTTTTGTTCCGGTGAGAATTTTCAACAATTTTTATTTTTTCTTCCAAATTTGTGCTAAATAGAAATGAATCAATTAAAAAAAATTTACTATCCTAAGAATAATTTCAAACTTTTCCTCATTTTCCTATTAATCACACAAGTATACACGACTCATAATATACTTTCTTGGCTGTTGAAATCCATTATGAAAGCTGAAGTTATTTCAGCCATTTTAATCGTCGCGATCATGGATGACTAATTTCCAAGTTGCAGATTAACAAGAGATGCGAGAGGAATCTGCGGTTGTTTAATTCTCAAGTTCACCTTGAAAAATAGGCAAATTGTATAATTATCTCGTCGTATTTTATGCTTTTAAATGCTGCGCGATATCTACACTATTTGCGGTAATAAGTTCAGAGGATATGGTTAACCGCAGATCCGGCCATTAAAGAATTTATACTCGCCAAAAACAAAGCGTTTTGAAAATTCAGATGTAAAAATCGTTGCAGACATAATTGCACTATTTTTTGAATATAATAAAGGCGAAGAGGTCAAGGAGCAACTTGCAGAGGCGTTGATGCGAAAGGAAAAATATATGTGCTTGCATAATCGCGATGAAAGTCGATCCGTGTGGGTTGTCGCCGAGAATTTTATTGTGTTCTTATAAATAATGTGGCGGCGCCTCCCTGTGTTAGTCACTTTCTTCGTCAGAAGCGTCTCGAAAATAAATTACAAAAATCACGCCTGCGTTATTTCATCGACCTTGCATGCGATGAATTAAACGTGCTCTTGATTATATTGGTGCTCATCCACACCTAACAAGGAAATCACATTTTTGCTTCAATCATGAAAAGCCTTGAATAAAATGTGCATTAAATTGGACGTTCTGTTATTTAATATTTTTGAGAGGATTGCATTATATATTTGCACTGGCAAGGCTTCTTTGCTTTTGAGCTGGGTGTGTAACCGACACTTTTAAGGCTCCCTTTTACTTCACCGCTGAAATTCCAAGATTTATATATTTTTTTGCAAAAGTCGTGCGTTCTTTTTTTCTATTAAGTGTAAGGTTGGAAATATAAATTCACAAATTGAATAGGCGTGTAATGAGCGAGCGACAACGAGTTTTTCTTCCACTCGCTGCAGAGATGTTATCTTGCGAACACGCCGCGCGGCCGAGGAGAAAATTGAAGAGGAGAGCGAGCGAATTTGACCCGGTGCAGATCCTGGTCGGAGGCCTTGACACTCGCTCGGGATACCCCGAAGGCTCGATTGTTTTACCTCTTGCGCGGTAAATGGGAAAACCTGAGCACAGAACACGAAACATGCAAATTAACCACCCTTTTCGCCATTTGTATATTTTCTGGCAAAAAATTAAAGAAAATAACAATCAAGAGTAAATAATTACTCTTGTGTCTCCACCACAAGGCAATTAGACTGCTCTGCCTATAATTTGAGCTCTGCTAACTTTTAAAAATTAATCAACCGCTTGAGAATGGATCTGATATTGAAGAATTAAAATGAAAAGATTAAAAACGTGAAAAGAATTATTTCCGCTCTGGTCCATAAAGTTAACACAAAATATTTTGTTTTTACAATTTTGATATTAATTTCCTGCAGATCAGAAATTGATTTCCATGACTCTGACGATACGAAAAACAAACTAAAAATAATCAAAATTTATTCCTTTTTCCCCATATATTTGGTACAATTATTCAAATGGTGTGAGCTATATAAAAAAAAAATTTGTTACAATTGAAAACCGGCTTATCCGAAGTGGGTTTCTTATTCGTTTGTATTTTTTTATTTTATTTTTTTATTTTTCTCATGAAATAAAATAAAAATACCTGGATGCAACAAATTATCTTTAACAAAATTATTGTCAAAATAGTTTAATAGGTTTTTAAAACGAAGGTTTTAGAGGAAATGTAGCGTTTCAAATCAAATATTTAAATATTTTCATTCAGTTGTTTTTTAATCCCCTTCTTATAAATTGTAACGGGGAACATTAAAAATATATACAGGAAGACTGGCATGCAAAAAGAAGCATCGAGCACAAACGTTCGTTTTGTTTCGCGACGCCGTTCACTTCAAAAGCAGCGTGGCGTCCCGAGGCGAAATGCAAAGAACGCTGCTCCCACCTTTATTACGTCATTCGGTAGTTCAAGAAGTTAAACATTTATATTCTTCTCTTACTTTAAATACACTTTGACTCGAGTATGCCCGGCCAATTTAAAGTTGACTTCCACAAACTACGCCGCGGTAAAGAAGCTCCACAAGATCGTAATTACAAGATAGCGGACTATAAAAAAAAATATATATATATAATTATATAAATCGCTTTAAATGATCGTAAATCTTTGTTACAAGTTTTTTTTGCCACAGCCAGGTGCTTGTGACGTTGAAAAGATGCTACCGTTGAGTGTGACGGTCACGACTGACCCTGGGTCAGGGCGGCAGATGACGTCATCGCTGGTTGGTTGGTCACGACTCGACCAACGTCACTGCCAAGGTGACCCCGAGAGGACAAGAAACTTTCGCACCAGAAAATAAACTATAAATTTTAATACATACATAATTTCTGCTCATTGCAAGGAGAATTATTATTGTTGCTTTAGCCACTGCGAATTGTGAGAAAATTAACTCCGCAATCAAAAGAAGCCTTGAGATAAAATAAAGATTTCATTCTTGTCGGGAAAAACAGGAAGTAAAAAACGTCAACATCCATAAATATATATCCAATATTTATTACATCCTGTCCCATCTATTCAAAAATAATGTCGACCTAATCGGGTTAAGCAGTCCGGAAACGTGTTTGGCATCAACTAAGTGGGTTGTTGTGCGGCTAAGAGGTGACCCAGGCGGCCAATTGTCCCGTTTGGTTGAGCGTGACCAAGGGCTGGCCGAACGGCCGTTGTCCGAAAGTGGAGATGTTGACGCAGAGACTGAGTTGCTGCAAACTCCAGGCCAAGAGTCGCGCCTCCTGTGCAAGCCGGTCCACACCGCTCGGGGCCATGATGCCGACAGGGTCTATCTTCTGGTCGACGGCCAGGTGGAGGGGCAAAAGCAGTTGGTAGGTGGGGACGGAGGCCAGAAGAGGAACCAGGACCATGCAGGCCATGGTTGCGGCCGCGTAACTCGCAAGACAGGCAACCACAATCTGAATTTGGAGTAAACTTGCATTGATTAATTTTAAATCAATACTATTTTGTTGATTTTACGGAATATTTTAATTATAAATAAGTCTTGATATTGAAAAAATTTAAATAAAATTAATCACAACAAGAAGTTTTATGAATACATTATAAGGATAAAATTTAAAAGTAAGAATTGATTAATTTAATTTTTTTGAAATAAAAGTTGAATTGATTCAATGTAATTTGAGACTGTAGATTTTTTATGAAACGTTTTTAGTTTTACCTGAAGGGCTTGTTGCAACAATTGGGTAAGTGGCACAATATCCAAAAGGGCGGCAGTCTCTTCGTAAGTAAACCAGCCTCGACGCAATCCTTGACGCAGAGATACAGTTCGGTGCAGCCGCATCAAGGCAGACCAGAAGTCCTGGTCCTTCACAAATACCTCCCATCTCTGAATTACATAACACCATTAATAAAGAGTTATAAAAATCCCACAATTAAAACGCTTACAATTGCATTGAGGAATTCCCGTTCCAGTTGATTCAGTTGTTTGCAGTCAAATCCGGACAAATCAGACCAGTACCAGTTTTCCACCTCGCTAGTTTCCCCTTCGTCCTGAATAAACTTGTTGGCAACCATCTGGAAATTGTCAAATTCAACTCAAAAACCGATTCAGGAAATGCCTAACCCACCATTGAGACGATGAACAGCTCCGAAGGGGTGACCTCTGCCAGGTACTCCCTGGTCTGCTGGTCGTTGGCAGTCTTGAGACGCTCCAAGTAGAGCAGGGCCAGGACCAGGGAGCACGGCGAGATGTTCCCGCGGCACGATTCCCGGACGGCCTCTGGCAGGTGCAGGCCAGCGAGGCGTCTGGCGCCACAAGTGCTGGTGAACAGCTCCGTGGCCAGTTCTGCAAAGAGGAATAAATGTGTGAAATTAACAAATATCCAAGGTTATTATTTCCTCGGTTGAGCGCGCCCAAAAGCTAAAAATAGCCACCCTTCTTACCAGCGACAGACTCGACTGGAACGTTGGGGATTTGGCCCTCTGGCCAAAGCTCTTTTCGCACCTTGGTCAAATACATCTCCCGCTTACGCATCTGCAATGAAAAACTGAGCGTCAAGAAAGAGAAAAATTTGAACACACTTAAATTGATTCGCTTCCGGGGCCCCAAAAGGCCACGAGGCACGCCTCCAAATTGGGACAGGAAAGCGATTTAAGTGCCTTTTTACGGCCTTTAAACTGTTTGAATAGATTGACGGGGCATGAATGATGAAAAACTCACCCTCGCCTTGCTTCTTTTGGGCCTATAATTGCCGATTTTGCGAGGAATATCGTCGTTCGGGTGCATTTTCACTTCTGTGTGCTTGTGCGACGTACGAAATTGTCTCTTCGTAATTGGAATACCGGTATTTATGAAAAGAGAAAATAAAAACCGGTGTTTTTGGCAGCAAGCAATGTAAACAAGCCTGCCCGGTTTATTTGTAAAACCGGTTGTTTTTCATTTCAGTTATCGTGACGAATAACCTTTAGTTACCCAATACAACAATATTTTTACCAGCTAAAAATCTTTAAAAAAAAACCAAAGTTAAATAATATTTGTTAATATAAATGTAACAAAAATATAAAAATTACTCTTTTAAATTAAAAATATCAAATATTAACGTATTTTTATCAATAAATATTGTAAATAATGATAAACTTTGGTTGGTACCTTTGACAATCAGCAGCTTTTGACAGAAAAGGCAAAACCAAGGCAAAACATTGACAAATTTTTAAGTAAATATCCTCACTATTAACCATATTTGCCACCATTGCGAGGTAAAATTAATTAAATTATTTTCAAAAATTGAAATGACAACCAAAAGTAGGATGGGGAACGCTTACATGAAGCAGCACCTGGAGACCGCCACAAAAACAGGCGTGCTTCGGATCTCCTTCCAAAAACTGAATGAAGTTCCCGAGGCCCTGACGCAACTAGAGGCCAACCTTCGGACGCTGGACATGTCGGACAACAAGTTCGTCACGCTGCCGTCTTGGATGGGCAACTTCAAAATGCTCAAGCAGTTGTCAATCAACAACAACAGGCTGACCGCCCTCCCTGAAGAAATCGGACGTCTCGTCAAACTGGACGCCCTGTCCTTGCACAACAACCGAATCGCCACCCTGCCAGCCTCGATCTCCGCCCTGAGCAACCTGAAGAGCATCGACCTGAGCGGCAACAAGCTGACTGCGTTCCCTGCCGTTTTCAACGGCCTAAAGAAGCTCGCTTCGATAGACTTGTCCAAAAACCAAATCACCGAAGTTCCCGAGGAGGCCGTCAAAGATCTGCACGTCGTCGAACTCAACCTCAACCAGAACCAGGTATATAAACAAAATATTTTTCAAATAGTATCACAATTATTGATTCTTTTTCTGAACCAATTAAAGGTGGCGATTGTAACTCCGAAGCTGGGCGAGTGCCCAAAACTGAGGACTTTGAGGTTAGAAGAGAACTGCCTTCAAATTCCGGCCGTCATTCCGCTCTTGAGAGACTCGTCAATATCTTTGTTAGCCCTCGAGGGGAATTTGTTTGACATGAAGGCCTTGGCGCACGCAGACGGCTACGAACAGTATATGGACAGGTTCACAGCGGTCAAGAAGAAATTGTACTAAATTCTTTTTCTTTAAAAAATCCGTCTTTGATGTTCACGCTGGAAATATTTCACGCTATTTTGAGTCACCATAATTCATTGTCATTTTCACCAAAGTGCAGTTTAGCCTAAATTTTGATGCAGTCGGCAGAATACTTCTTGTTGGTGTGTTTCAGCCTCCCTGGATTATTGCTTATGTGAAAAAAGAAAAAATTGTTAAGAGACAAAAAAGTGTTCCCTTGGAAAAAATTTCAGAGTTATACGAAAGTTTGGATTAAATACTTCAAAACACAATCCTCTTATTGTGATATCGAATCCGTATTTCTACGTGTTGTAATGTATTAAACGGTATTCATGAAAATATTATTGTAAAAATAAAAACGTTGAAGAATATTAATCTCTAGTTTTTTTTCTTTATCTATGTCATGAATGGAAATCATTTAATCATATATTAAAAAAAAACTTAATATAACTTAACTGTAAACCTTTTAAAGAATAGAGATCTTAGTTTTAATCACAAAGTATGCAACTTTCTTTGCATTGAAGTAAAAAAAAATAATGTTAATTGAAAAAGCAGCTCGTAATTAAACACCGCCACAATTTGATGGATTTTAATTAATTGAATTCAGTTCTTTTTATTATTGATGTCCAAATTACAGAGGGATCAAAGACTTCTAGTTTCTTAGAAGGAAAATTAAATTTTATTTTGATTTCAATAAAGGCATATTCTTTGTTCAGATAAATCAGTTTCAAAAATTTAAATTTACTTCTGCTTAAAAATTAAAAAAAAATCTCTCGACGGTTTCAGAAGCTGAATCAACCCGCACGACGTCCCCGTAAAGTGGGTTGCATAGCTCTGTGATTTGCAGGCGCTCAAATATTACCAAATTTTTAGGACACACTTAAGCTTCTGTTATCACAATCCCAATTTAAAGCTTTTAATGTTCCTCTATTGGCAATGCGAAAAATGAATGATTGCTGCTGATATCAAAAGTTTTTGTTTCAGAGATAACAACACAAAGCTGCACGGTTTAATGAGCGCTTTGATTAATTTATGATTTGACATAATTATTTCCAATATTTTGATTGGAAAAGATGTTGTGGCTTCTTTTATTAGCTTTCTTTGTTGCAAATCAGCAGGTCAGTAATGAAATTTTTAATGAGACAATTAACAATGTGATTTTTGTTCAGAGCGTGACATTAGCAGATCAGCCCAAAATTCTTCGCTTTCCAATCAATGGAACCGAATATTACGTTGCTGGCTCGGGGTATTATTCGAGAGACTGGGCGATAGATCACTGCAGACTGGTCGGCATGGTGCCAGTCAGTTTCAACAAAGGCGAAGACCTGTACACCGAAATCTATAATTACATCATAACTCAAAGTTTCATATTATTATTATTTTTAATTTACGTGTATAAAAATTAATTTACATACTTCAGTTGAGTATCCAAACGGGGTTGGCTATTGGACGAGTGCGATCAAAACTTCATCGAGCAGTGACTCGTGGATTTGGGAAACGACTGGGGAAAAAGTCGCAAAGTTTTACTGGGCGGAGGGAGAGCCCAGCTTTGCCGAAGACGAGGTCGGAGTTTGTATGATGTTCAGCGTCCAACGCCAGGGCTGGGTCAACGACTACTGCAAAAGAACCAACGTTGGCGCCACGATTGTGTGCGAAAAGGAAATCGAACAATCAGAGTAAAATAAATAAAGAAATTAAAAATAAAATGAATATATATTTTTTTTTATTGATTTTCTAAGAAATTATTTTAGTTAGTCATAGACATCAATTATTTCAAGATAAAGAGCTTCTCTGCGTCAATCAAAATTTGGTCCAAAAGATTAGATAAAATCGGTTTCGCGTGATTAAAAACACAGTTATTTGTTTCGAGAGCTGAAAAATGTCGCTCACGATGAAACTCCTCGCCTTGCTTTTCCTCGCCTCTTCAACTCTAGCAGGTTAGATTTTGAAAAAGTGGAAAATTTCGTGTTTCAATTGTTGGTGATTTCAGCCTTGAACGAGCCGTGCGCGCAAAGTGATCCGGACCCGTGTGCTGCTTCAGATCCAAACAGCGAATGCGCTCCACTCGAAACGGACCCAACCCAATTCGTCTGCCAATGTTTGCCCAGATTTGCAGCCAACAGCGAAGACCCGGCGGTGGCACAATGTGTCGCAGGTGAATTACTATTTTTAAAGTTCCAAATTCTGTAATTAAAATTTAGATTGAAAAAAACTATTAAAATTAATAACAAAATTTATTTATAGGTTTTTTATAGGTTTCAATAGCAATTTTCAAAAAAATTAACTTTCTAATTCTTAAATATGATTGAAATAGGAGCAAAAATTTATAAAAATTAATTATATATAACAATTCAATATTTCTGCTTGATTAAAAATAAAACAGTATTAGCAATGTATGATTTTGTCGCAGGTTGTTCCGAATTTTTTTTGTTAAAAATCAACTTCACTCTTAAAATTAACAGCAGTAAAAATTTATAGAAATGTATAATTTTAATTTGTTATTTATGCTTAGATCTGGAAAGAAATATGGGATTTTGGTAGTATTGAAATTTTTTTCTTAACTTGTTTTTTTTTCAGCTTTGAACCTTGCGAATGCTTGCGCTGCCCCTGATTTCGGCTCGGCGTGCAATTCGATCCCGTACGCCCTGTGCCAAAATTCACCTCTTACCTGCAGTTGCATCGCCGAATACACACCGTCTACTGATTCAACCGCGTGCCAGGTCAGCACCTTCAACGACAGGTGCGTCGAGGACGCGCAGTGCGTCGGACTTAACGCTGACGCAAAATGCCAATCGGAGCGATGCGTCTGCCCAACCAATTTGGTTCAAGGATCGACAGGATGTGTTGATGGTGCGTTTTTAGATCAAAATAATGAGGGGAATATAAAAAACTTCTCTTATTCCAGAGGTCAAGCTGGGCGAAGGATGCGAGGTGGACGGACAGTGCCCTGAAAACTCGTTTTGCGATTCTGCAGTTTGCAATTGCAAGAATTACTACGTGAAAGTGTCCGAAAATGCAGAAGACAAATGTTTGCCAAGTATAATACTTTAATTTTTTTCTGGCTTTCATTTCAAAACTCCTAAAAATATTAAAATTTTCTTTTTAATCATATTGCTCTGCATTTTTATTCTAATTTAGATTATTTAATAATTTTTTTGCACTATTTCATTTTTTTTTTAATTTTCAGAGGCGTATCAGGTGGGAGATGCTTGTGAAAATATCGACCAGTGCCAAAACTTGAGGGTTGAAGGCGTTGAGTGCACAAGTAATCAGTGTCTTTGCAAAGAAGGTTACGTCGAGTCAAACGACAAGACATTGTGCTTGAAGAGTAAATATGATTTTTTTTTAAATAAACGACTGTCAATGATTTAATTGTGTTTCAATCTTCAGGTGGAGCACAAGCTGGAGATTCGTGCGCCCAAGACCAGCAATGTCCGGAGGGACTTACTTGTGATGCTCTTGCTTGCGCAGAGCCAACGAAATAATATTTTACTTTTTGTAACGAGATCAATTTGAGAATAATAATCATGATTAATTTAATTAAAGCAGAGTTATTTTTCAATTAAAACTCTGCAATTCTTTCCATCTGTATGATATAATTGGAAAAACGTTCACAGTTAATTTTCTTGGCGAGTCCGAATTTATTACATTATGTACGTTTTTCCCTAAGCAAAAATTTTAATGGGAGACTCAACAACCTTCTGTTTATTAAAATTATTATCACTCATCTTAATGAGAGATGAAATAATGCAAAACTAGTAAAACAGTGGTGACATTAAAATATTGCATAGATCGATTAAATTATATATCATCCTCCCATTTTTATAGTAGAAGTTCACAATTCATGGTGATTTGAATTTAAATTCGGCTTTTCTTCGATGTGAGTTTTTATTGTTTAAGAAAAACAATATCCTGCTCTACATATAATGTTTCGACTGCGGGCTGCAGCCATAATTCATGAGCTTTCTCGGCGGTGGTCGAGAGAAGACCGCAGTCGAAAGTCGAAACATGTAGATTTAGTTAATTTAAGGCGGTCAGTGAGTTAATTCAAATTATTTTGAAGAAATTTTGCAAAAATAATTAAGGGAACTTACCTTAATCTAAGGCGACAGAAGGATCCATTTACTGATGTGACCATAAATTGAATCTCGATTGAGAAGTCTAGTTATGTGCAGTCATTTTATTAGTCAGCAAAGTCCGTTTACAATTAGATAACAGTTATTAATTACTTTTTGAGAATTTAAATTTCTCTAAAATATAAACTTGTTGAATGTATATTGTAAATTAAAATAGATCATTTTTTTTATTAATTTGTAATAGCAGAAATTAAAGTGTTTTTTATATAATTAAGATGTTAAATGTCTGAAATAACCAATTTGACGATGATATTTTCGCTCTCTAAAAATCACGCTATGTAATTAGTTCGAACATAAATCAGCACAGAAAAAATTAAAGATCATCGGTTTTTTCATTTAAATAAGTAAGATGTGTACTTCTTCATTCTTAATATTAAATCCAAGAAATATAATTGGTTTGTTTTGCCGTAATATATTTAAAAATGAAAATAACTAGAAATGATTGAATGAATTGTTTATTAATCAACAATTACATCGCCTTGCAGGATGATATATCTATTATTTGACACTTTTTCCGTCGCGAATTTTGACCAGCCAAATGCAAAAACCCGCCATTAATGCAGCTCGACGTCCCTACTCAAAAGTTATTCCACGCCAACATTCTACGAAAACGCACTCGGGGAATTTTTTTATATGTCTAATCGAAAAGTTTGGTTGGTCTGGCCAAGACAGACAGTAAAACAGTTGATCCAAAAGACGTACGTACCTTAACGAAAATAACAACACTTGTCTTAAAATGTATAAAGGGGTTGAGCATGTGTGTGTGTAACCATCATTCGTTTTGTATGTGTGAATACATATGTATATATATATAAGTGTGTGGGTGGTTTGTCGCGAGAGACAGCCTCCGGTACCTGTGCTGCAGTCTTGAAGGTCGATGGTTGGCAACCTGAGGAAGAATTCAATTTTTTTTCTCTCGTCAGAAGCTGCGCTTGAGCTCGAAAAGGAGATTTTTGTCGATGACCGATCGACGCAGAGTGCCGAATTTTATATATATTTTTTTTAATCCTAGCATGCTCTCAACTCTTTTTGATCTCGGGAGTACAATAATTATATAAAGAGTTTGAAACGTTATTAATTTTTTTTCGTAGTTGCAACACGCAGAGCGGAGAAAAAGGGGCTTATACACTACACTTGGCACAGAAGTTTGGAAACACTTTCGAGAGAATTAACCGATACAGAGAAGACATCACATGGCAGACACTGATTTATATATTTCAACACTTTTGGTCCAGGAACAAAACTTGACCTTCACTGCAATTCCGACTTGCACTTTGAGCTGCCTGTTGTTTTGATAAGAAAAAAAAATTGTGTAAAAAGCAAAATGATAAAAATTTTGAATTTGTTCAGCGTCTAAAACCGTCTAAAACATTACAAAGTGCAAATCAACCCTCATTTGAAATCAGCCCATTACTTTGGCGATTCGTTTTTAACATGATTCAACAAAATTACTAACTGATATGTCCACCTCTGGCTTTTGATCCTTTCAACAAATGTACAATATTCTCAAATGATAACAACAAACAACGACAGTAGTAGTAGTAGTAGCGATGATGGCAGCGAGGAAGACACAAAAACATTGAGGTACAAGTCAAAATCACTAATTGGGGGCCGCCAGGGGGCCGTTGAAAGCCGCCCCCGCCTGGTGAAGTGCCAGGTGCTGCAGCAGGTGAGTCTTGGACGTAAAACCAGCGTCGCAATACTTGCACACGAAAGGCCGGGGTTGAGAGTGTGATGCGACGTGCTGCAATTTTTAATTGATTTTAGAGTAAGAAAGCAATTTCCACTTGATGATTCGAACCTTGTGGAGGGAGTCCTGGCTCGGGAGATGGAGGCCACAAAGGTCACATTTGAACACCTGACTAGTGCTGCTATCGATTCTGCCTCTAAACTTGTCCGGCTGCTCCATCGGCGCCTCGCTAGGGGCATTGCTGTGGTCCACAAAGATGTGCACCTTGAGGGAGTTAACTGAAGGGAAGGCCTGTTCACAAATAGGGCACTTGTAGCTCAGCACCTCATGACCAACATCCTGCATTAAAAAAAAGTTATTTATTATGGAGTAATGGGTAATGGAAAAAATATTATAAAAATGGCCAAATTTATCACTTTAAAATTTTGAATTATAATTATTTTAATATTTTTACCACTTTTAACAATAATTTATTTTGAATTAAAGTATTTAAAATATATTTTTTTGATAAAAAATACAAATCAACTAACAGGTTCTCCTTCGGAACCGTCGTCGTAATCAGAGCCTGACATCAGTCTGTGTTTCATGCCGTCATCCATGGCAGAGGGACCTGCTTGCATGTGGTGACCTTGGCCGTGTCCCATGTACATTTCTCCTGGATCTTCGGTCATGTCCTCTGAAGATTCGCTTGTGGTGCGTCGGCGGTCCCACGGCTGCAGCTTGGACGGGTCCTTCTCGTAGATTTTCTGAGCCAAGATCTGGAAATAGTTCTAATTTGAGTCACACTGTTGATTTTCCCAAAGGGAATTTTATTACTTGTAAACTTTCAAGGGAATTGTCGCAGTCCGTCGTGTCAATTTCATTCAGGTTGATTCCGGACCGCTCCATCTCGGCGTAGGTTCCGAAGGGCAGTTTTCCCAGACACTCAAGTTTCATGATGTGCATCTTGGAGCGCAGGTGCTTGGCGAGGTGGCCGTGAATTCGAAAGGCGATTTTGCAGTCCTCGCATTTGAAGGGTCGGGGGTTGTCAGTGGTGGGCATGCCGAATGTGGAGTTCATGCTCACCTACACAATTGAATAATTAAAATCCTTTTCCAAATAACGAGATTTTGTTTCAAACCTTGTTCTGGTGGCTGACGGATCGTTCATGCTTCTGGAGATGACCTTTGGTGCGGAAGGACACTGCACAAGACTCACACCTGAATGGCCGCTCGAAGTAGTGGATGTTGACATGAAGGCGAAGCTGACTCGGTTTTGAGAACACTTTATTGCAGATTGCACACTGGCTCTTGCCGTCTTCAGTTAAACTAAGGAAGAACAAAAAATGTATTAGTATAGGCTTGGAAAATGGGTAATTTTCTTCAGATGAAGAGATTAAAAAAAGAAAATAGGATTATTTTTTACTGTTTTTAGTTAGAAATTCTTTAGATAGGCCAATTTTCTCTAGTGATTTTAGCGGATTTTAGGAGAAATTTCATTTTTCTAATTAGGTGATAAATTTTTTTAATAGGTTTTCATTTTGAGTGGGTGATTTTAGTTGATTTCCGAACCTGAATTCTGAATTATAAGTCTAAAGAAAGTTAACATATCTTATAAATATATTTTTTTTCTTCATCCATTTGTTGGATTTTTTTTATTTATTACCTGCCATAGTTGCTACCAGGGCCACTTGCTGGTGGCATGAACTCTGCCTTGGGCTTGCTCGGACTTGCAGAGTGCGGCGGTGAACCTCCTGCTGCCGCAATGGCGGCCGCCGCGGCGGCCACGTGTTGTTGGCCAATGGCCGCGGCTTTGTTCAAGTTGTCCAGTTTCGGAGGTGCCGAAGGCGGATGAGACTCAGAACTGACCTCCTTCATGGGCGAATTGAGCAGCAGGGCAGACATGTTGCACGCCAGGGTCGGGGTGAGTAGCGAGGGGGCGGGGGAGGCCACGGGGGTGTTTGGGGTTGCGGCGTTCGAGTCGGGAGGGAGGCCGCGCCACCGGTGAACCTGGTGCTGCTTGATCCTGACGTCGTGCAGCGCCTTTTCGGTCAGGTAGGCGTGCAGCATGTCAGGTGGGGCCTGACCCTGACGCCCACCCTGAGGAAGGCGCTCCACGGTGCTGCAAAGGGCGGCCAATAGGGCTGCCGAGTCTGGCACTGGAGTCACAGGAGCGGGTCTGCTCAAGTCCATGGGTGGGGGCGTGGCCTCCGGGGTTGACCCTGAGGCGGATTCATCCCTTTTGGAGGGGAAGTAGTAGCGGTCGCCCCCTCCGGAAGGCGCGGCCGCACCCTTTTGCTCCGGCATGACCAAGCGAGTGTTCCTGGACACCTTTTCTCTCTCGCTGTGTGCACTGACCGATGAAATTGTCGGCGTGCGAGCTGCTGTGGTGATTGTGGTTGTTGTACAAGTGGGGCCACTCGAATAGGGGTACGTGAAGGGTCGGGCCGAAATAGGGATCAGACCCACATGCTGCTCGGCCAGGGACAAGAGACTGCACGCGGCCTCTCTCTGCCCAGCATCAACTGCAAATAAACCAATGTTTATTATCTGAATTTTATGGAAACTCATGATAATATCTTACTGTCACTTATTTGCATAGAATCTTCGTCGTCGTCTTCATCATCATCCTCGTCCTCATCGTCTTCTTCATCAGACTCTGAATCAGGGCCATCACCTCGTTCTACTCTAAGTGCTTGCTGTAATTCCATTTGATTAAACATCATATTTCACAGTTTTCCAATTTGTTCAAACTGACCTGTCTCAACAGCAGTTCCTCATCAATGTTGCTGTCCTCCACTGCGGTTGGCACAGGTAAGATTCCTAATTCCATGCACTTTTTGTAGTGTGCCTTGGACTTCATATGCTTGGTCAGATTGCCTTTAGTCTTAAAACTGAACAGAATTTTTTTTACCGTGATGCAAATTATAAAATGTAAAAATCATCTACCTGAAGCTGCAGTGTTTACAGGTGAAAGGTCGCACATCTGTGTGTGTCCTGATATGTTTCTTGAGCATAGAGGGTTTTTTACACCTAATGCCGCACTCTTCACAAACGTACTTCCCACGGCCCCTGCCTCTCACATAAGTGTACTCTTCGTTGGACTCGAATCCGCCGGCAAAAATTTTCACCCTCTTTGGCAGGGGCTCTCCATTCGGAGACATTTGCTACAAAAAAAATTTTGACTTAGTTAGTTTTTGGAACCGAATCCACAAGGGTAAATAATTAAAAGTACTTCAAATTTAACATAAATATCTGCAAATTTCAGGTAATCCAGATCAATTTAAGGTAATTTAATAAACAAAAAATGGTTTGATTTGACAAAAATACTATCAAATTTCATTAAATATGTCTAAAATAACTATTTTGAAATTTTTTAAAATAAAAAATTATTTCAAAACTACACAGTTGTAAAATTATATCATATCAAGTAAGCATGAACAATTTATTGAAATTTAATTCAACTACACACCTCTTTAGTTTGCTTAGCATCACTACTGGACTTTGATGAGTTGGAATCGGGGCTGTCAGTTTTACGGCCGCTGTCCCACTGGGAGGAGTGCGTGACCACGAGCGACTGGGGCCTGGTGCTGGCGATGGAGTACTTGTTTGGCCTGTGCCTCGAGTCGTAGAGCGCCATGGCCTGCGCCGGCGCCATCTCGGGCGGGTCCGCCGACGGGGACAGCACCCTCCAGTTGGAGTACATGGAGAGCTTGGGGTCGGTGCTCTGGGGCACGTACATGGGCTGCGGCTGGGTGAGGCAGCAGTAGAACACCCGGGTGGAGCACTTGAGCCCCAGGTACGTGTACGCGTGGCCGTTCAGGTACAACTGGCCGTAGGACTTGCGAGGCCGGGGCGTCTCGGGGCTCACCAGGGTCGTGCCTGCCAGCGAGGTGAGCAGGGGTCGCTTGGGCGCGAAGGTGCCCGGCTTGAGGGGCAGCGAGGTGGGCCGCAGGAACTTGGGCTTGGGAGGTCCCTCCTCGGACGGACTGTCGGCGGGGGGCGGCGATCGGGGTGGATGGCTCTTGATGGGTTGCAGCGGGGGCGGCGTCGACTGCGTGGGTCTGAAATAGCAACGCCCGCATTGAGACACGGAGCAAACGTGAATAAAATCTATTTCCTACTTTGCAAGGGTCATGGTCAGCACAATAGCGAAACAAATTAAATGAGAGAGAGAGCGGGAGGAGCAAAATTATATTATGCCTCAACTCACTTGAGAGGAATGTCTGGCTTGGCCGGCGGAGGACCGCACACAAGGTCGAGAGGTCGCGACTCGGTCAGACTTTGCGGCCCCGGCATGCCTGGCACGTAAGGAATTTCCCGGCCGCCGTGCACAATCGTGACAACCCCAGCGTCCGAGGAGGTTCGTCTGCTCGTCGGGGTGGGGACGGATGGCAGTGTGAGGGGGTTGTATGCCAGGTAGGGGGTCTGCAGGGATGGCGCCAGACTGGGGGCGGTGATTTTGGGCACGATAGGCCGCGCCACTGCCGCCAAAAGCTGCTGGTCAGGCACAAGGGGGGCGTTGGCCGGGTTCGAGGATGACGACTGAGACGTGGAGGCGATCATTTGTACGATGGTCCCACCTGAGTTCAGGTTACACCTTGATATGGTGATGCTCGTTGGAGAACTCCGGCCACTCGAGTTGGGCTGCTGCTCGGGCAGTAAGGACGTTCCGGCTGGAGGTCTGCAGGGGTCGATGATCATGGTTTTTGGTTCGTGACCATCATTTATGTGCACCTGGAAAGAATGAAAGAAATTTAGACAGTATTATTTGGAAAATGAATTATGATAGAAACATGAAATATTTGCCAATCCAGTTTAATTAACTTTATAAACTTTATTTCCTTATTTATTAATATTTATTTACAAAGAGTTGATTCATGTTATAATTTACAAAATAAAAATTAAAACTCTTTGTTTTATTTTAAATATAACAATAATTGATTGCAAAATTTTGAGTAAAGATTGAAGAATTGTAAAAATCCATATTTTTTAAACTTCAAATTATTCATAAAGATCATACTTGTGCCCTTGTTAAATAAAAAATTACAAGTCATAGAAAGTCGAATTCTAAAACATACAACTTTTAGAATTCAAAAGCAGAGCAACTCACTTTTCCTCCAAACATCTGCATAGGTCTGGGAGAGCGAGAGAGTTCCTCTAGTGAACGAAGGCTAGCAGTCGAAGGCGGCCTCTCTTCACTCGACAGTCGTTGCCTTTTGGAGGCCGGCGCGTCGTTGTAGCCTCCGACCAAAGGCGTGGAGCCCAGCAGTGGTCCCGGCGAGGGAAAGGGCGGAGGGGTGGCCAGGGCGGCCAGCTCCAGTGCAGCGGCCAGTTTGGCAGCCTCGTGCTGCAAGAGGCTGTTTTTCTTCGCCGACTCCTGCGGGCCTTTGCAGTAGTAGCGCTGGTGAATCTCAAGATTCTCAGAGTTCCTGTACGTAAATAAGAAAAACAATAAAAGATGATTTATTTTTGTACGAATTCAGTACCTGTAGCTGATCCTGCACAAATCACAAACGTAGGCGGGGGAAGAGTCAGAGGAGGCTGCGGCGGCCTCGAGGAAAAGGGCAGGGTTGACTTCGCTGCTGAGCAGTTCGGCCATGTCGGCGCCTTGCCGAGCCTTGAGCAGCAGATCCTTGATGATGGAGCCTTCGGGGTTCTGCGGATGGTTGTCCATGGCCAGACGTGCAATCTTGGAGGGCGGGGAGAGGACGAGGAAGCCGTTGCTGGAGCCGCCTCCGTCGCTGCGCCGCCTCTGGGGGCTGCTGACGCTCAGGTTGAGCGGCTCCGAACCCTCCTCCTTGGGCCGGGTCAGTGCGTGGGCCAGTCTCGACGCTTTTGAACTTTCAGCACTCCTCCTAAATTGAATGAATTAATTCAATTTGTTAAAAGATGCCCCACTTCAATAAAATTCAATAAAATTGTTAAAAAAGTAAATAATTAAATTGATAAAATAAGTTTCGAATGATCTTGATTTGATATGAAAATTCCATTGTTTGGAAAAGGCTGACGGAAATTTGAATTTGATCGACTCACCCCGCAGTCTTTTGTTCAGTGGCAGGACTGGAAAGGTTTCTGTGGTAGCGCCTGGACCACAGGGGGTCGACGGTCTCCACAATGGCCTGGTTCTCGCTGATTATCTTGCTGATGTGCCTCTGGAGGAACTCAGGGCTGCCGGGCGGACACTGGCCCTGGAACTTGGGCTTGTACGGCCTGCTGGGGTTGGGTTCGTCGTCCGAGTCGAGCAGCTCGTCCGTCTCCTCGTCCATGCCCTCGGGTTCGCCCGCCTTGATGGCGTGGGTGCGCGAGCGGCAGTGCTTGTACAGGTTGCTCTTGGTCTTGAACGCGAATCCGCAAGGTCTGCAAACGCTCCGTTTAGAACAACAACAAAAACAGCAAACTAAGTCTACACCGAAAAAAGGGGCTTTGGAGTTGAAACGAAAATTGAATTTAGAACTGAAATTTAGAGCGACTGAGAGTGAAAATTCAAAGCAAAAACGGCGAGTGCAGGGTTCGAGTACCTGCAAGGGTAGGGCCGCTCGTTGGTGTGCGCGCGGACGTGCTTTTGCAGCACGCTGGGCTTGGCGCACGCCATCTGGCAGTACGGACACACGTACCGGCCGGACCCGTTCACGGGGCCCTCGGAGACTGCGGCGGCTGCCGGGGGCGGCGAGGGCGACGCCAAGGCCATCTTCTGGAACTTCTTGTGCCGGTACCGCAGGTCGGACGAGTCGTTCGACGCCGCCGAAGACTCTGCGCTCGGACCTGAAATTGAAAAGAAAAATAGGGTGGGTCCGAATATCACAGAAATGACACTCGAAAAGATTCTCGAGAAACGATTCTGGAGAAAAAATTGGGTGGGTTCGAATATCACATTGACGATTATCAAGAAACAATTCTTGAGAATGGATTCTCAAGCAAGGATTCTCAAGGAACGATTCTTTGGTTGAATTTTAAAGGCAGAAACGTTCCTGGAGAATCCTTGCGCGAGAATCGTTTCTCAAGAATATTTTCTGGAGAATATTAATTTCTCGAGCATCGATTCTCGAGAATCGTTTCTCTGATATTCGGACCCACCCATAATCCATAGCTTGCGACTTATTTTTGTCCCAAAGCTCTGTTTATAAGGAAATACATAAACAAAATAAATCATAATTTTATGGGTTTTTCTTCGGAATCCTATAAATAAGAAATCTAAAAGTTCCGAAGCGATTTTGGTTTTACTATTGAAACGAATTCCTTGAGTTTCATTCTTTCTATTTTAACAACGATTATGGTGTGAGTCAGCGACGAGCATCCTTGCTTTAAGTATCAATTTCCCTTCAATTAAGGTCTGAACGCACGCACGCGCCTGCCACACTGCAGAAGTTAATTCGGTTGGCGCGGCGAGAAAATGCAGAAAATGCGATTTTGGTTTGGGTATTTTGGCGTGGCAGAAAGCGAGTGCGTCACTTGCTGTTGACGGCGGCCTCATGCTTTGGGCAGGTGTTGAGAGAGGAGCGCGCACACCAAAATAGAGCACCAGGAGCAAGGTGAGTGAGTGAGTGAGCAGCCCCAAGAACAAGTGAGTGGGTTTGCTCGAGAACTTATTCACTGAATCAACAACACGCTAATTGTCGGGTTGTGAGATTCAAATTATGAAAAAGAAATAAATAATTAAATAAAACTTAATTGAAAACTAAAACGTCTCTCAATTTCACTGAAAACACACTGATAAGGAATAATAGGAAATTAAAAAAAAATCTTTTTTAGAAAAATTTTGATAATAAAACAATTAAATAATTCAAAATGATGCAAATGGAATTTTAATTGAGATATAATTAATTTATTAAATTTTTGGTCTGAATTGAAGTAAAGAATTGCAATTTTCCTCCGAATAAAATTTATTCATTTCTAAATTCGCACAAAAAAATTCTAAATTTAAAATGACAGAGCTTCTTTTCCTCTGTACAGTTGATCATTTAATGGATAAGAGCCAATTCTTGTCTCTCCACAATGAAAGTCGCAGACGGTTTTGTACTGTTAATCGCCACTTGCGGCTAAAGCACAAATAAAACTCCGAAGGTAAATATTTTCGTCTCTGTGCTTTCCAGTTCAAAAATAAACACACCATTTTCAGCGTGACTAACCGCAATTCAGGTATTTGACACACGAACCAGATCGTCGTTAATTATTGGAAAGAATAGAAGAAAAAAAACGATGACCCGCAACAATCCGCGAGTTCGGAGAAGTGCGGCGGCGCGGCACGATTCGGAGTAAAAAGAAGAGCATTAAAAAAAAGAACTCACCTGGGTGCGAAGGCGGACCCTGAGGAGGCATCTGATGGTCCAGGGTGACGTCGGGGCCACGCGGCGACTGCGAATCGCTGCCTGCAACCAAAATCACGGGAAAAATTATTCCAAGTGCTGCAGATTTGGAGAGGACTCGGGGCCAAAGGGACAGATTTTATCTCGCTGATAGCGACAAATTGCTTTCGAATTGCGCTCGGATGCATTTTTCTCAGAAAGAAACGATAAAAAATCCGAGTTGATAAAATGATTCGTTCCGAGCATTTCGTTCGAGTTTCGAGAAAAACACCTTATCACGTTTCGTTGGAGCTGCGGAAAATTTATTTTGCTTTCAGGCAAATTTTTGAATAATTATGTAGAGAAACGAAAGATTTTAGTAGAATAGCTAATTGGAAAATTAAAACCGAGATAATTTGGGAATGAAATGTGCAAATTACACCATAATTTAGTTTTAAATTGGTAAAATTGCTGACCCGTTTTTATTTTACAAAAGAATCGTGAAAATTTATGGAAATTTGCAAAAGAAATAATTCCACAATCTGGTGCTCCAGACAGATAAAGAGTGGTGTGGTTTTCAGCAAATGATTGAAGAGGGGAATCCTGTCAAGTCAAGAGACGAACCTGCGATAAGAAGTGACGCGTTCAATTGCACTTATCACAACATCATTCACTCGAAAATGTAAAATTAACTCCTTATTTATATTTTGAATATTTTAGCAAAAGTTCTTTTATGTGATAATTTTTTGTTTTTAATTTGTTTCAACTAAATTTATTAGTCAAAATTGCAATGATTTGATTTAAATTTAAAATGGAAAATTCGTTTCAATAGAGTTCACACGAAAGAAATTGAACACAAATTACAACCCTCGTCTATAAACTATAAATACCATGAATTAGAAAGTTGATAAGCAAATTGATCGAGCACGACCGACTGCACGTGAGATTTGCCGGTCACGAAAGGAAAAATAATTCACCTGTTGCGCCACTGAGGAAGGGAATGTTGAATGCGTCAAATTTTAATAAAATAAAAATAAAAACTCACTGCAGTTTTTCCAAGGTGAATTTGTATGAATTTCACCGGGCAAAAAACGGTCCACTCGAAAGAGAGATAAAGCCTGATTTGTGCTCACCGCGTCTGATCACTCTCGAATGAATTATTCCGTGAGGCTGTTGGTTATTTTCTCGTCGTTATCTGGCGCTGCGGCTGCGAATTATTTTATAAATGACTCATGCACCGGAGCAGAGACGCCGAAAGTGAAAGTCGACGAGTGTGTTGACCTGCGGCCAGGTGTTTACAAGAAATTGCTCGAATCGGCTGCAATTCAGTCTTGAATTTGATTCATCGTTGAAATTATTTATGAAAATATCAGAGTAATTATATATTTTTTAATTAAAATAAATATATAATTATATTTTTATTATTTTTGAATTTAATAAATATTTCCTTTTTTGATTACTTTCTTTTTAATTATTTTTTTAATAAAAAATAAATCTTAACATTGCAATTGTTTCACTTTTGTATTAACATTAGCAATGCGAATTTAAATTGAAAACATGGCTCGTCATGATTATTGAAATGTTATTTGAATGTTTTAAAGAAAACTAAAAAACAAAGAAAACATTTACAATTAATCACCTTTCAAGCATTTCAGAAGTTTCTTTACTTGTTTTATGAAATATCCTTCATATAATAAGTTAAAACGCGCGTCAAACTTTGGGCTTTTGCGTCTTTCGGCTCCCCCAAATCGATAAAAAGCCTGTCTACCTATATCGTCATGTTTTATGACATTTTGTTTTTTAATTATATTTTCGCGCGGCGATAGCGTGGCACGACAAGGGAGATAAGTGACGTCACTGGAGATGTGCCCTTTGGAAGCTGCGCGTTCTTATCGCCACAGTTATCGGCCGGCACTGACCCCCGCGCCACATCTCTCTCTCAAATTACCATCCGACATTCATTTTCACGCGGACCAACAAATTTCGCTGTTTAAAACTCGACTCGAATTATTCACAGATGAGTTGACGCCAGCTATTTTTATTGGCGTAAATTCATAAAATGAACTGAAACAGATTTTCATCAAAATTCAGATTGTATTTCAATTGAAAAATAAAAAGTAGTTAAATAGCGATTTAATTTTTATCAGCGCAAAAAAATCAAGATAAATTACAGTTCATTAACCATCTACAACTAAATAAAATTTGAAAATTTAGCATTTAGACTACTTCCTAAATAGTCACTTCGAGGTTCAAATATATTGGTATAAAAATTAAAGGAATATTCTAAAATAGACTAAATAATAACGAGTTTTCCAGATTTTAATTTAAATTTCCACTTCTCTTGTCACTTTTTCAAGTTGAATTATTTTGAAAATTTATCAAATTTTGAGTCAATTATGAAATATTTCTTTGCTCATTTGGACAGAAGAATTTGCCAGTCTTGCGTAATTTGTTGACAAGTTTTTTTCATAACGTAAGAAGCAAATCATTAGATAACGTAATAAATTTTCAAAAAAATTTAATGCAGAGTTAAAATTTGCAGATACGATAAATACGTCAATGAAGAGTTTAGGTCACAAGGAATCGATTTAAAAGGTCATCATACAAATCTCAAAAGAGATTAAAGAAGTAATACAAAGTAATGTGTGGTCCAACAAGCAATCTTATTAGCCTCAAAACGCATCGTTTTTTTTAATCTTTTTAGTGTGATCAAAAAAATTGAAACAAAAGTTTTTCAATAGAAATTCCTGAAATACTATATTGTGCAAAATTTTAAATTGGAAAAATTGATATTTTTTCCGCTCTGGTGGCGCATTTGTTGTCGGCCAGCTACAAAAACGATTTATGCAAATGCGCGAGGGAGACGAGGATGGAGCAGCAAAAGATGACGTAATGCGCGCGCGGGCAAGGTTGAATAATGAGAATAATTGAGCCGCCCACGGCGAGCTTCAATTGCCAATGCAAACGTACCCATACAGTGGCTGACACAGCCTCCCTTCAATAATTAATACATAATAATCAACATTAAAATTGCGGTTTTAAATTTGGTAGCAAATTATAAAATTTGATTTCGTAGTTGCCATTTGGCATGAACGAAAATGGTTTTAATTTCATAGCACATTAATAATTGTAATTCAGTTCTTGTATTTCATAAAAAATAAAAATTTCAGAAGAAATTCAACAACTAAAAAAACTTAACGTGGAAAATGAATTTTTTTTGTTTATAATTAAAACTCAAATTCTGATCATTTTGATTATTAGAAGTATTTTTACGCGTTAAAATCAAATTATTTAAAAAAAAGATAATTAATTTGACACTTTTATTTTATTAAATTTAAGTCTATTATCTCCCGCTTGGTTTTAAATAATTAGTAGAATTTCAATGTTTGAAAATGATTTTATAGCGATACATTAGTTCGATTATTATAGATGCAGGGCGCGAGTACAATTTAAATCAAGCGATTTCATTGGTCAAACGTCTTTAATTGCCCCGATCGGATCAAAAATGATCAAAAAATTTGATCTCGCATCATCCCTCCGCCAGCGGTTGGTACGATTGGGAGCGCCAGCCAATTCAAATTAGCTGGCTTTTTTTACCCGAAATTGTTATTAGATTGAAAAATGCGATAAAAACTTGGCATTGACAAAATTATTTCTTTTCCAATATTCAATTATTCTTTCGTGGTTTTAAATAGGTGCTTAAGGATCATTGTTCGTCTAACCAAAAATATGTGAAAACCGTGTTTTAATTTGTCGTTTCTGAGAAAAATGTGCTAATTTTATAATCTATTTCTGCTGAAAACATCACGATAGCTCATACTTTGGTTTTGGTCTTAAAAATAACTGAAAAAACATTGAAACTTATTTAATTTTGGCAAATTACATAACCGCTGGACTAAAACAACAGCCAAAATAAATTGGAAAAAACTTTTTTAATTTTCTAAACAGGAGGTTGGGGCTAATGAATCAAGGTATCTCTTCTTGATGGTGACAAAAGTCATTGACCCTAGAGAAAGGTCAAAATGTAACGTTTTACGCCCAATTGGAAATTATACAATTTGACCCAAAAAATCTGGATTCAGCAAGAATATTCAAAACATTTAAACCAGCCCTTAAGTAAATATTATTGACTTAAAAAATCCTTCAATCGTTAAAATATTGGTGAATTTTGAAAAGTTTCAGTAAAACTGGCGAAATTTGTTTCGATCATTTCAATTAGAAAATGAGAAGAGCCACAAATCCGCAGTAATTAATGAATTTGCAGTCCAGAAATATATTGTTAGGCCGAGGAGAATTTCGGTGTGTTTGTGTGCGTGAGTGGCGTTTGTGCCGAGGCGCGGAGACACCGTCGGCCGAGGAGCGAGGAATCTCACTTTTGGCAATGATGACGAGGGGCTGCACTGAGGCCGCGCACACGAGAGAGAGAGGAAATCTGGCTGGCGCCACGGCATCTCGGCCAGACACACAGGAGGGGAACCCTCGCTCATTTATTCCGCTGCTATTTGTCCCAATCAACTTCGCCCAGCCAACGCAACAACCAAAACTTTGCAAATTTTCCTCAATTAAATTTAATAAAAAAAGTTAACAATTAAATCTCCAATTTACAATTTAGTGAAAATAACCTTTTCTATTTTCATTTGAATTAATTAGCTTAAAATTATAATTCCAGTAAGCATAAAAAAATAGTATTTTTATTTAAAAAAAAAAAATGCGAGAGGCAAATTTAGAATGAGTTTTGGTGAATGACGCACAAGCGAGAGCATTTTCACGTATATTATTATTTTGTACATCTGCGCTGGTTACGTGGCCACATAAATGTGCGGCGTGACGTCACTCGAGGGGCGGGAGGGGATTCCAGGAATTGTGATCAGTGTGGGGGATGCCCCAAGGTCAGCCCAGCATACCGATGGAGATACGCCTCGAGAAGAAAAATAAAGAGAGAGAGACGCGCAGCTTCTTTTTCTCCTCATTATTTTCGCCACGGCTCCTTGTTTTTTCTTCGTCCGAACGCGACACCCGTTCGTTTGTCACTGCCCGAGTCGCGCCCATACAAAATCAATCGAACGATTTCATCTCGCAATCAC